GGGGGGGGGGTATAGTAATGCGTGTACTGTTTATATGTCGTTATGAACATGATATCATGTATGTACATAGGAATCTATTAGAAATAGACATTATAAAGGTTATCACAGAACTCTTAACGACAGTTAAATACTACTTTAATGTTTTTATATAGATATATAGGGATTGAACGGCGTTTGTTTTCTTTACTTTTCATGCAGTATAAGCGCAAATCGGTTACATTCATATTGCATGAAGTCCTGTTCAATATGGATGTAACCGATTTTCGTTCATACCGGCATGAAAATTTAAAACAAACCGCCGTTCAATCCATATATTTCCATTTTTAATATAGAACAATTATTTAATTTTATTTATATGTTCTTAAATAATTAATTGATTTACTGCGTTTTATATATGCGTCGTCCTTTAAACGACATTGGCGGAACAGCCCTATTTGAATAAAATTGGCGCCAATAATTAACCGTTGTCATTTGAGTTTGACGCAGGGGCATTTTCCCTTTTATCCAAAGCGAAGCGACAAGACTCTCTTGGTTGCAGCGCAAATTGATATATAATTTAACGTAAATTATAGCTTTGTTAGATAGGGATAATTAAAATCTGCAAGCAAACCAAAATAACAGCTAGAAATACTTTAAACAGGAAGCGCTTTATTTAAACGATTTACAACGTTAAACACAAGTACGAACCCATGCAAGAAATCACTTTATCAATATAACAGATGCGCATGTAAAATGCAAGTGGAGAAACCCTATACATACATTACAGCATGTTGGAAGAAAACTGATTTCGTCTTTAAATAAACAGGAAGATTTTGTTTAGAAGAGTACAAATAGATAAACAGTCATCGTTTGGATTCTTTTGCACCACTATCTTTTCACCCTCTAATTTTTTTAAACTTATTCGGCCTGACATTGTTTTGAAGCAACGAAACTATAGTTATAACATTGTTCGCCTCCATGATGAATTAACGTTGTTGTTCTAGCGCCACATTTGTGAGTTAACATTGCATTACTTGCTGCTAAGTTCGTGATGGAAATTAAATGGAAGCTAAATCTATATTAGTTTTAAGAGGACATGATAAGATATATAGAGAAATAAAGTACATAAGTGTTTATGAATAATTGCCTGTTCCTATTGTAATTGAAAATCAACTTAAACTTACTCTTATACTTTCCAACTGTCGTGCAAACAGACAAAATATAACGACATCGATGATAAGAAGGCCAGCCTCTGGCAGCAAACTCTATTGAATCAGGGAAAAACATCTTTAATGTAGTTAACTGTACCCAATTAATGTCTAGATTAGAATGTTAAATACTATAATGAATCAAATGAATAATATATACAAGCATCCCTAACTTACCAGTTATACTAACACCACTGCAATATATTAAGTCCTATACAATATATAAACTACTAGAAACACATCTTGTGTAGTCAAATATGATGTGACACAATCGAGTATAGTGTTGTGGGAAAACACTCGTATATATTTGAGCTCTCACGTACATTATGTGAATATGATTCCGTTCTATTTCGCTAAGGTTGATAAGTCGGGTTGACAACGTAAAAAGAATAGAAGTACTTATAAACTATTACTATACAATTATTTTGTAATCATTTCTTGGTATTTGTGAATATTCTCTTTTTCGTTCTATAACAGTATCGATATTCATAGTTATAAGAATTACAGTAAATTTCTATACATACCCATCGTAAACCGGTGTTCCATTTAATCAGGCACCAGCGTATTTTGAAGACGTTGATGACGATAGATACCGGTATTACCACAAGTATTGTAATACTCGCGCCTTTTGTCATCTCTCCAAGTTGCAGCAATCCTACGGACAGTTTGTCCAGCTGGGTGTCGCCCCTGATTACGTATATAAGTATCGCTATCCAGGCTGAAAGCTGTATAGCCTACCGCGGAAACAGGAAAAACAACAAATTGGCAACTGGAAAGCGCGGTTCGGAGGTCGAGAAGAATGTTTGGATAAGTGTTTTTTAAGTTTTGACACTCGTTATAAAAAATGTATATAGTAAGTAAATTGTGTAAAAGGTGATGGTCTGTTATTTCATCTTTCGCAGTTATTTAATTCAATAAGGTACAGGATTATAATTGAAAGGGATAAGGCAACATCCATAAATCCTAATATAGCTCTCGCCTAATAGGTTGACTATGTGAATAAGTATATATACAAAATCGTATTATGTTCGTTTCATATTGAAAAGTGTGTCCGGAAATATTGCTTCAAAGCGTCCACGCAATGACCCAGTGATATTTGTCGAATTCGGTATTGATAAGCAACGAGGGTTTTCTCGCCTATAATATAAGAGAAGATATATTTTATGTTTATCCTCAAATATGGCATGGATTGGTCTGAGGGTAGATGAAATCGATATTGAAATGCTTTACTGTCACTAAGCGGAAACTCGACAGGCAAATGAAACTAATTCCATATGATGAAAATAAAAGAAAGTGAATAACACAAGAACCAAACTTTTAGACATTTTTTTAGTTATTATTGAAAAACAAAATCAGAATCGACAAGTGGTAAATCTTTACAATGTCACAGTCACAGTAGTAGTAAAATGTCCTTGATGCAGTCAGTGACTTAATTCACGAGGCTATAGATGACCAGTGTGATACCCGGGTGACGCAGGCTACGCCCTCGTTCCTATATATCTCACTGACCCACTACAGTTACTAGATTTACAACAACATACTATAATACCCACTGATACATTTGAATTTTTACATGGTAAACACTTTACATTCACTGTTGTATCTTCATGATACAGCTAACCATTCACATAGAACTATAACGTACATTATTTGTGCATGACTTATATTAACATTCCGGTCTATTTGGCTAAAGTTAAAGAGTCTGGTGGATCACTTACAAAGCATAGATGTACTTATAAACTATTATTATACCATTATTTTGTAATGATTTGTTGTTATTTGTGAATATCCTCTTTCACGTTTTACTTTTTACAGAAATAAAAAAAACATTTATAAACATCATTACATACTCACTGATAATGTCATACTACCAGAAACGTACACAACTGTCAACAGCGTAAAATTGGGCATTTTGTCATTGTTGATGAATCTGCAAAAGAGTATCATCAGAGATCAGAGGTTGTGTGTTAGTCACCGAGGTTTGCCGTAACATTGAGTGCCACAGTTATCTCATTTGAGTAGTAGTGCGGTTATTGATAAACATACTTTACTTGTTATTAATTTGAAATTAAACAGCAATCATCAAAGTAGTGCGGTTATTGATAAACATACTTTACTTGTTATTAATTTGAAATTAAACAGCAATCATCAAAGTTGTGAAATTCATATAAGTATGGCTGTTTAAGTTAAACGGCAGTTAAGACCAATTTGGATTAATAACTTTTCCGCCCCCAGCATCACCGATGAGTCACAGAAGGACGATGTGTGATGCAGTGTTAATCATTTTTGGCATGCTGTTTCAAATTTCAAGTGTGCAGTCTCAGTTTTTGGTTCATCTATAAGTATTACTCTTGTGTTTACATCAAAATGATGTCATTGTTATCATTATAAATTTATCTGGGATAAATAGTAAAATAGAAAAACAAAGAAAGCACATATAGCAGCAACGGCAAACAAGGGGAAAGAACAAAATGTACAATATCGTCAACACGAAATGTCAAAATGTACTACACCGTTAACAGATAAAGAAAAAATAGACCAAAACGCAAACAAAAAAGAATAAAATATTTAGTATCGTCAACAAAAGGTCAAAACATGCCTCAATTGTTACACCACATATTTAACACACAACGACAAATGACACTACATTATCACCACACCAGGACAACCTATACCGCAGAATGGATACAGGACAAAATTAACCATAGCCTCAATACAAAGACAACATTATCAACATCATCAACTGTTCAGGCTAAATATACCACATCGTCAACACACGAAGATAACAAACCACAGCCTAAATATATACAAAATATTCCACAGCTTAAATATAGCACACAAATATATTTTATAACATCACAGAACAAAAGGGCAAACTATACCACAGCAATACTTAATATACCACAACATCAACATATCAGGACAAAACTCCGCCCTATTTTGATTAATTTAAAATTAAAATGAGATATTAATGTTATAAGAAAAAAAATAACAACGACAACAACAAAATGGTTATGTGAATGTCATTGAGCATGTAGGTATGCAACAACGTATAAAAATAACATTTTTATCATAAGTAAAGACATGTAGAAAATATACCATTGTTTGGTAGAAATAGTCAAGAGTATGGGGGCAGGAACTTGACAATTTCATGTAAGGCTTGCTTAGATTTGTCAAAAATGAGCATAAAGTGTACATCTGAAAGACATATGAAATTGGTAGACTTAACAGGTTTTATCTGATTGTAATGTTAAAGGCAAAAATAAGTAACAATCTGAGGTGCTGTCATGCTATCATCAATAGTATTATTGACTTTTAAAATGATAAGAGACTACATGGAAATATGCATTTGAAATTGAAATCTGAAACCAGGGCGAATTTTTCAGGACAATACGCTGACGTATTTCTTAAATGTAAATCGAACTGACGTCATTACACACCGGTTATTAAAGCAGGTGTTGGATATAAGCCCCCTGCTTTGACCCGGTGACACTCGAGACTTGTAGACTCTATCCAGGACGACGACGAGCAGCACCTGTACAAACATGTAAAAAGGCAGGAAACAACATCAACGTGTTGTTCTACAATTTTAATTAATATTTTCTTTTTAAACATGACAATAATGGACTGATCTACGACTAGTATGATAAAGAGATTAGGGAGCTATATCGACTGTCTTATCTATAGTACTTTTATGATGAAACGAAGTACGTAGGTTGTATGAACTCTCGAACTTCTATTAGGATTATAATGAAACTTTTAACAGTGGCCGTTTTAAATGATTATCTTTTAACATGATTAAACGATTAAGGATCTATATATTGTTTGATATCGAAGATTGGTATGATGAAATGTGGCACAGCGGTCGTATAGACGATCTTATCGCTAGTATGATACTGATGGAACGCGGTCGTATGGACTGTCTTACCTCCAGTATCATCCTAAAGACACTTAGTATCACAGAGGTCGTTTGGACTGTCTTACCTCCAGTATCATCATAAAGACACTAAACACCACAGTGGTCGTATGGACTGTCTTACCTCCAGTATCATCATAAAGACACTAAGCACTACAGTGGTCGTTTGGACTGTCTTACCTCCAGTATCATCATAAAGACACTAAGCACCACAGCGGTCGTGTCGTATACGTGGATCGTGTTATCCAGAACAACAGTAGTACAGGACTGGAAGAAAATGAGACATATGTTCATTATACATCAATACATAATAATTAATTATTCTTTATATTCACCTTTGTATTTGTTGGAGGCATTACAAACAATAATACTCGGAATGTATCTACATTCCTAAATTCATCTAATATCCGGTGCATCATTATGAAACCAAGCAAGCCCATCTTACTCAGTTCAAGTTCAATAAAGGGTCTTTTATACATTTTTAAGACCGAGACCGTCAAAGTGTAATACATTATTCAGTGTTTTCCTCAAATAACGAAGACGATATTAAGTAAAGGAAATTGTTTCTCAGATTCGAAATAGGTCAGCAATGAAAAAGAAATGCTTTCATTGTCCAGAACATTACACTATTTGCATTTTCTGTCGATTCTTGGATTCATTTTACTCCTACCGACCAAACTCTCCAAATTGTCATTGCTTATATGACCATATTTCCAATGTTTACGCATTGCGATAGAAATACACTTAATATTCTACAAATACACTTGGTAGTACACCTAACATTCAATGACTTAGGAAAAACAACGCACAGTTGAAAAGACAGAGGAAGAGGAGCACTTGGCTATCACTGTAGCTTCTAAAGGCCAGCGGATAGTCGGGTCGCTATCACAGTGTCTACACGTCCAGGGAGCACCTGCTTCTATCAGCCGACCGTTGTAATAAATTTGTTGGAAGAATGAATTTTCATTTAAACAGCATTTTCCCTGAAATATATATTTTGAATTTAATGTTTACTTTGTTAAAGATAAAAAGAACACTTTATGATACAATGTTTTTGTCAAAAGGCAGTAAGGTGTATCTTTTTTGTTTTCAAATTCTGATTTTTCATTTGAATTAACCGAGTGGATAATTGGTTCTGTACCGTAAATTATAATCAGTAGACACTTATATTAGAAGTAGAATAAGTAGGCACTTATATTGATAGTATCCCTAATAGACACTCATGTGATAGTCAATCCGGTAGACACTTTGTTTTGAAAGTGTAATCAGCAGGAACTTATATCGGTAGTTTACAAGTAAGACACTAATATTTTAGTCCAACCATCCTCCTCACTTATGTTTCCTTGATAACGATATTATAGTATATCAATACACTCGCCATTTGTTACATAGCAGCATAACATTTTACGTTAAACTTTATGATTGACTCATACCGTATAAATCACAAATACAACCACGCTACTTACCCGATAGAATAGAGTATTAAATCCTAGGTTCATTTCCTCGATATAGAGCTCTGTATGTGGCCTATCTGTTTGATAGTTTGTTCGCAATGCACTATGCATGGCATCGTCTATTTTGCTGTCAAACTGAAACAAAATGTAGAAAATGAATAATTCGTATTATTTCAACCCTACAATTCATCCTACTAAATCTTCAAGTCGTCCCAGAGAAACCATCACTCTTACATACACTCGCTGTGTATCCTCCTAAAACACAATTCTTACGACCATATTACTACCCTCACCAAGACGTCCCAGAGAAACCATCACTATTACATACACTCGCTGTGTATTCCTCTAAAACACTATTCTTACGGCCATATTACTATTCTCACCAAGTCGTCCCAGAGAAACCATCACTCTTACATACACTCGCTATGTATCCTCCTAAAACACAATCCTTACGACCATATTACTACCCTCACCAAGACGTCCCAGAGAAACCATCACTTTTACATACACTCGCTGTGTATCCTTCTAAAACACAATTCTTACGACCATATTACTATCCTTACCAAGTCGTCCCAGATAAACCATCACTCTTCCATTCACTCGCTGTGGATCCTCCTAAAACACATTTCTTACGGCCATATTACTATCCTCACCAAGTCGTCCAAGAGAACCCATCACTCTTCCTTCACTCGCTGTGTATCCTCCTAAAACACAATTCTTGCGGCCATATTACTATCCTCACCAAGTCGTCCAAGAGAAACCATCACTCTTACTTCACTCGCTGTGTATCCTCCTAAAACACAATTCTTACGACCATATTACTACCCTCACCAAGACGTCCCAGAGAAACCATCACTTTTACATACACTCGCTGTGTATCCCTCTAAAACACAATTCTTACGGCCATATTACTATCCTCACCAAGTCGTCCCAGGGAAACCATCACTCTTACGTACACTCGCTGTGCATCCTCCTAAAACACAATTCTTACGGCCATATCACTATCCTCACCAAGTCGTCCCAGAGAAACCATCACTCTTACAACCGCTCCCTGTGTATCCTCCTAAAACAAAATTCTTACGACCATATTTCTACCCTCACCAAGACGTCCCAGGGAAACCATCCCTCTTACATACACTCGCTGTGTATGCTCCTAAAACACAATTCTTACGACTATATTACTATCCTCACCTAGTCGTCCCAGAGAAACCATCGGCCATATTACTATCCTCACTAAGTCGTTCCAAGAAAATGCAAGTGTATTGCAAATAAACAATCACCAAGTCGTCCCAGCGAAACCATCACTCTTACGTACGCTCGCTGTGCATCCTCCTAAACCACAATTCTTACGGCCACATTCCTTTCCTCACCAAGTCGTCCCATGGAAACCATCACTCTTACGTACGCTCGCTGTGCATCCTCCTAACACACAATTCTTACGGCCCTATCACTTTCCTCACCAAGTCGTCCCAGGGACACCATCACTCTTACGTACACACACTGTGTATCCTCCTAAAACACATTTCTTTCGAGCATATTACTATCCTCACGAAGTCGTCCCAGAGAAACAATCACTCTTACATACACGCGCTGTGTATCCTCCTAAAACACAATCCTTACGGCCATATTACTATCCCCACCAAGTCGTCCAAGAGAACCCATCACTCTTACATACCCTCGCTGTGTATCCTCCTAAAACAAAATTCTTACGACCATATTACTTTCTTTACCAAGTCGTCCCAGAGAACCCATCACTCTTACATTCATTCGCTGGGGATCCTCCTAAAACACAATTATTACGGCCATATCACTATCCTCACCAAGTCATCCCAGAGAAACCATCATTTTTACATACACTCGCTGTATCACTCTTACATACACGTGCTGTGTATCCTCCTAAAAAACAATTCTTCCGGCCATATTACTATCCTCACTAAGTCGTTCCAAGAAAAGGCAAGTTTATTGCAAATAAACAATCACCAAGTCGTCCCAGGGAAACTATCACTCTTACAAATTCTCCCTGTGTATCCTCCTAAAACCCAATTCTTACGGCCATATTGCTATCCTCACCAAGTCGGCCCAGGGAAACCATCACTCTTACACCATCACTCTTACGTACGCTCGCTGTGCATCCTCCTAACACACAATTCTTACGGCCCTATCACTTTCCTCACCAAGTCGTCCAAGAGAACCCATCACTCTTACATTCATTCGCTGTGGATCCTCCTAAAACACAACTCTTACGGCCATATTACTTACCTCACCAAGTCGTCCCATGGAAACCATCACTCTTACACCATCACTCTTACGTACACACACTGTGTATCCTCCTAAAACACATTTCTTTCGAGCATATTACTATCCTCACAAAGTCGTTCCAAGAAAATGCAAGTGTATTGCAAATAAACAATCACCAAGTCGTCCCAGAGAAATCATCACTCTTACATTCATTCGCTGGGGATCCTCCTAAAACACAATCCTTACGGCCATATTACTTTCCTAACCAAGTCGTCCCAGGGAAACCATCCCTCTTACAAACACTCCCTGTGTATCCTCCTAAAACAAAATTCTTACGGCCATATTCCTAAAACACAATTCTTACGGCCCTATCACTTTCCTCACCAAGTCGTCCAAGAGAACCCATCACTCTTACATTCACTCGCTGTGGATCCTCCTAAAAAACAATTCTTCCGGCCATATTACTATCCTCACGAAGTCGTCCCAGAGAAATCATCACTCTTACATTCACTCGCTGTGGATCCTCCTAAGACACAATTCTTACGGCCCTATCACTTTCCTCACCAAGTCGTCCAAAAGAAACCATCACTCTTATATACACTCGCTGTGTATGCTCCTAAAACACAATTCTTCCGGCCATATTACTATCCTCACCTAGTCGTCCCAGAGAAACAATCACTCTTACATACACACGCTGTGTATCCTCCTAAAACCCAATTCTTACGGCCATATCCCTATCCTCACCAAGTCGGCCCAGGGAAACCATCACTCTCACGTACACTCGCTGTGCATCCTCCTAAACCACAATTCTTACGGCCACATTCCTTTCCTCACCAAGTCGTCCAAAAGAAACCATCACTCTTAAGTACACTCGCTGTGTATCCCTCTAAAACACAATTCTTACGGCCCTATCACTTTCCTCACCAAGTCGTCCCGGGGAAACCATCACTCTTCCGTACACCCGCTGTGCATCCTCCTAACACACAATTCTTACGGCCCTATCACTTTCCTCACCAAGTCGTCCAAGAGAAACCCAAGACGTCCCAGAGAAACCATCGGCCATATTACTATCCCCACCAAGTCGTCCAAGAGAAACCCAAGACGTCCCAGAGAAACCATCCCTCTTACATACACTCGCTGGGTATGCTCCTAAAACACAATTCTCACGGCCATATTACTATCCTCACAAAGTCGTTCCAAGAAAATGCAAGTGTATTGCAAATAAACAATCATTTCATAAAACGGACGGCAGGAATAATAAATGTGCATGGATAATAATGTTTGGAGACCTGCTATATCAGCTGATAGGATCACTCACTGTGTATCCTCCTAAAAAACAATTCTTCCGGCCATATTACTATCCTCACAAATTCGTCCCAGAGAAACCATCTCTCTTACGTACACTCGCTGTGCATCCTCCTAAACCACAATTCTTACGGCCACATTCCTTTCCTCACCAAGTCGTCCCATGGAAACCATCACTCTTACACCATCACTCTTACGTACGCTCGCTGTGCATCCTCCTAACACACAATTCTTACGGCCATATCACTATCCTCACCAAGTCGTCACAGAGAAACCATCACTCTGACATACACTCGCTGGGTATCCTCCTAAAACACAATTCTTACGGCCATATTACTATCCTCACCAAGTCGTTCCAAGAAAATGCAAGTTTATTGCAAATAAACAATCATTTCATAAAACGGACTGCAGGAATAATAAATGTGCATGGATAATAATGTTTGGAGACCTGCTATATCAGCTGATAGGATCGTCCTATTATAGGAAAGTACACATTTATGTAAAAGTCCTAATTCAAAATAGTTCTTCATTGTACATGTTGGTTTGTTTTATTACTTTGGCCACTTCTACAGCAATGAAAGCTGTTATAGTAATTTAAAATTAGCAACTGCCAGCGATTGCATATCTAAAATGGCTCAACGGTGTTTGGGAATAGCATGCCCTGTCTGCTGAAATCGTATAATGTTCAGTAATTCAATGATATGACATAGAATGCAATTATATTTTTCGAGAAATCCAGTTTATATTGACAATGACACTGCAAAATTCTCGTTTAATCTTGACGTTAATTTTTTCCATTGCTATTCATGAAGGCAATTCCTGTCATCAATATCAAGGGAAACGAGAAACACTGCATTCATTCTGATGCTGGGACATCGAGTTCCATCTAGTGATCATTCTTACCTGATTTACGTATAGCATACATTGAAACATAATGGACATTTAAACACGTGTTATCAGGAGGTACACACACATACAAGAGTAATGATGTGTTAATTAAATATACTTACTGATATTCGCAGTGGAATCCATACCATGATACAAACAAACTTTAACAGAACGGACAGTAGAAGGAGAACGGTGGTCTGTAACAAAACCAAATTGTAAAAGTTATATTTAAAACTTCGCTGATTTCAACAGTTAATGATACCACAATGCGGTCTAAGCCCATTTAGATATCGTTAGAGATTTAACATGCATTATAATAATAACCTGACATTGGACCCCTCTTTGTGACCACAAACTATGGACATGAATATGTCGAACATTTTTTTTTCAAGTTCCGCTTTACATTACAAAGTGATCAGAAGGTCTGAGTAGTAAAACATTATAATTAGTCTACATTTTACTCATTGCCCTGACTTTGACCTTGACATTATGATCGTTCAAAGTAACCAACAAATTCGTTAGTCATTGCGATAGACGGTGCACGGCGATACTTGATACTGTTCCCGACTGGTTCAAACTTTTGTCAATTAATTATGCTTACATCCCACCTTATTGCACGTTAATCTTCATAAATCATCTTCCTGTTTAATAAAAGCATGACGATGGCTGTGTTGTTTCTGTATTTATCATGTGATGTTGAATATGTCTGTAGTGTAACCACGTAACGCTAGGAAGAGCTTAGGTACCTACACCACGGGACGTTGGTCGTATGTCTACTGTACTTACAACGTGACGGTAGTTATGTATTCTATACCTACTATAGTATACGTGACGTTAGTTGTGAAGTTCCTGTACCTTACCAGTGACGTCGGTTGTGTTTTTGTGCCTACCAAGCGACGTTAGTGGTGTCGTTTATACCTACTACAGTATACGTGACGTTAGTTGTGTAGTTCCTGTACCTTATCAGTGACGTCGGTTGTGTTTTTGTGCCTACCAAGTGACGTTAGTGATGTCTTCTATACCTACTACAGTATACGTGACGTTAGTTGTGTAGTTCCTGTACCTTACCAGTGACGTCGGTTGTGTTTTTGTGCCTACCATGTGACGTTAGTGATGTCTTCTATACCTACTACAGTATACGTGACGTTAGTTGTGTAGTTCCTGTACCTTACCAGTGACGTCGGTTGTGTGTCTTGTGTGCCTACCAAGTGACGTTAGTGATGTCTTCTATACCTACTACAGTATACGTGACGTTAGTTGTGTAGTTCCTGGACCTTATCAGTGACGTCGGTTGTGTGTCTTGTGTGCCTACCAAATGACGTTAGTGATGTATTCTATACCTACTACAGTTTACGTGACGTTAGTTGTGTAGTTCCTGTACCTTACCAGTGACGTCGGTTGTGTGTCTTGTGTGCCTACCAAGTGACGTTAGTGATGTCTTCTATACCTACTACAGTATATGTGACGTTAGTCGTGTAGTTCCTGTACCTTCCCAGTGACGTCGGTTGTGTGTCTTGTGTGCCTACCATGTGACGTTAGTGATGTCTTCTATACCTACTACAGTATACGTGACGGTAGCTGTGTAGTTCCTGTACCTTATCAGTGACGTCGGTTGTGTTTTTGTGCCTACCATGTGACGTTAGTGATGTATTCTATACCTACTACAGTATATGTGACGTTAGTTGTGTAGTTCCTGTACCTTGCCAGTGATGTCGGTTGTGTGTCTTGTGTGCCTACCAAGAGACGTTAGTGATGTCTTCTATACCTACTACAGTATACGTGACGTTAGTTGTGTAGTTCCTGTACCTTCCCAGTGATGTCGGTTGTGTGTCTTGTGTGCCTACCAAGTGACGTTAGATATGCAGTTACTGTACCTACCTAATGTCTTTAACGGGTGTACCTACCACGTAGTACATTGCCGTCACTCTGGCGGCCACGGATATGACGCCAACACAGAAGAAGATGAACGACGCTGAACCCAAGCTGATCATGACGTCAGACATGGTAGTAACCAAATACGTCACGTCCCATTCAGATATATAGATATGATTAAACAGACGATGGATGTCCTTGTCTCCTAGTATATCATTGAATCGGAGAAGTAGCCCGGCAATCATTATACCCAAAGCAAGCATCTGTAGAAAATATAAACCTGACTGTTACTATTAAGTTTCTTTCTTGTGCGGGTTTCAGGAATTCAACATATTACACAAAGGTCTTGAATAAAGTGGACGTCTCCCTAAGCTTTCTGCTACGTGACATATAGATCCGGTTTTTAATGAAGGATAACAGGCCCCTTCCCTCTTAAATTCGCCATTAATGCTAAACATTACAAGACCGGGTTGGAAAAACTAAAACACATAGCAACGCGCGACGATTGATATCGTTTTTAAAATTTGTATTGAAAACTGAGTTAGCGTTGTGCATTTATTGTGGATATGAAAGCTGGAAATGCAGCCAACTTTTCACGAAATTCGTGTATATCTGTGTAATGCTATTTCATTTCAGTAAATTTTATTGAAAAGTCAAAATATTAGCCTTCATCTAGCCAGAATTACAGAGGGAACTGTAGTAGAAGAAGTTACAGAAATAGCGATGCAAGGGGAGTAACTCCCACAGAAGTTTCAGTTCTGGATAAAATGTCATAAAGCATTTTTTTTGTGTACATTAGTGCTTCCTACGAACACAACGATACAATACAGATACAGAATATCAATATTCATAACGTTTTGGTGAAACTGGATATTCATAAGATTAGTGGAGCCAAATGGAACGAATTTTCTTCTTACAGTATGAACCAAGAACATATTTATGAATCATCGTTGACATATATTTACTTATTTGAGCACTCTGCTGTTCCTGTTTGTTATCCAACAAGATAAGGACAAACAAACTTGTATTATTGAAGAAAGGAGATATATCATTCTGCTTCAAGAAAAAAATACACATGGGATAATACTCTCAGCATTAAACACATGTTCGTCAAGAAAAGCTTTCGTAGAATTCGACGGAAGAATAGGAACTGTTTTGGGCTTATCTGGTTTCAAAATCACTATAAGTTAGGAAAATCAGTCTTTACATCAGTGGAACAAATACATTTTGTTTAGACGTAGATGCTGTATGACTGTAGGCAATAAGGGTAATCCTACAGGAACAACCTACCAAACCAATTCCCGTGAACGCTATGGAACCAAACAACCACTTGCAATCTGTCCTAAAAGCGATGAAAATATTAGAAAATAACAAAATGATTATCTGTAGCTGTTCTGTTCGAGATATTTGCTTTTTTGAGGACCTTCAAAGGTTTTACTTCATATCACATATATTTTACAAGGAATATATAAAATTTTGTTATCCAAAAAACAATAACTGAATTGTGTGATAATACATTTAACTAAATCATGTGTCTCAACTTTAGGAAGCTGTAAAAATTCGGATGATTATGACGTCACAATACAAAGAAATTACAGTTAATCTTTACACCATTACGTACACTGTCTGTTATGAAACATACCCTTCAGGTAAACAGACAGGATACAGTATAACTGTTAAATCGACATGGGCAAAGAAGTTTTGATACCCAAGCATATCAATACGTACTTCATGTAATCTTTTACTGTTTTCCAAATCGATGATTGATTTTCGACTGCAGGTTCCAAACCAAGAGCGTTTTTGTATATCAGTGCGATGTTGCATACCTGTACGGAATGTAGGAGACAAGCTTGTGGTTTACTTTATCACTCTTAGTCGATATCTATATGAAATTTGTCAATGACATGTTGACAATAAAAATCAAAATACAACAAAGAGTATGATTAATATGTAATAAAAACAGCGCGTTACACAAGCAGTGCCATTTTAATAGTCAGTTATGCAGGAATCAGGGATCTGAAAAATTTGTAACGGCTATATTTGGACCCAACTAAGGTGTTCCGAGTGATTTTACCCGTTTAAGGGGTTCGGATCAACTTTCGTTAAAAATGTCACCCCTATGATGATATATATGCGAGAAGGTTGGAAACCGTTCGATGTCGAAAACTTAACCCCACCTCCTAAATTCCTTGCATCAAAAACCACATTTCCAGTTGATACGCTGACGTTTTTGTCCTATTGGAATGGAGGATATTATTTCTTTTAAATAAACCTCCTATATGCACGTAAAATGCAACTTCACGTGTTTGTCTGCGAATGATTATTCTGTTTCTCTCTTCGTTTAATGTTAACATTTTTTATGAATTCTGAAGTAAGTTTTACGTATACTTCCCTCACAGCTTAGAATCATAACTGTTTATCTGATAAATGTCCACGAATGAGTTGTTCAACATTTATCCTTGATAAGTATAGATTCGTGATACAAAGCAGACGTGAATCACGTGATCAATAAACGTCCATACCTTCATGATCAGCAAGAAGCCGCATACTACTCCAAACAATACGGCGTACGTCTTTACTTCAGCAATTAACGGTATCTCACACACCTGTAAAGGGAAACACCAAGATTGATTAAGCATCACATACCTACACCAAGGGAGCGGTAAAACATCACTTAATCACTGTAATACTGTATCACAAACCTAAATAATGTAATACTGTATCAACTAAACATTGTAATACTGTATCACCTAAACACAGTAATACAGTATCACCTAAACACAGTAATACTGTATCACCTAAACACAGTAATACTGCATCATCTAAACACGATAATACATTATCACCTAAACACAGTAATACAGTATCACCTAAACACGGTAATACAGTATCACATTAACATAGTAATACTGTATTACTGTCTTTAGGTGATACTGTATTAATGTGTTTAGGTGATACAGTATTGCTGTGTTTAGGTGATAGTGTATTACTGTGTTTTGGTGATAATGTATTACTGTGTTTCGGTGATAATGTATTATCATGTTTAGATGATGCAGTATTACTGTGTTTAGATGATACTGTGTGACGGTGTTTAGTTGATACAATATTACATTATTTAGGTTTGTGATACAGTATTACTGTGTTGAGGTGAGACTGTATTACTGTGTGAAAGTGATACTGTATTACCGTGTTTAGGTGATACAGTCTTACTGTGTTTAGGTGGTACTGTATTACTGTGATTAGGTGATACTGTATTCCTGTGTTTAGGTGATTCTGTATTACTGTGTTTAAGTGATACAGTATTACATTATTTAGGTTTGTGATACAGTATTACAATGTTTAGTTGATACAATATTACATTATTTAGGTTTGTGATACAGTATTACTGTGTGTAAATGATACTGTATAACTGTGTTTAGGTGGTACTGTATTACTGTGATTAGGTGATACTGTATGACTGTGTTTAGGTGATACTTTATTACTGTGTTTAGTAATACTGTATTACTGTCTTTAGGTGATACTGTATGACTGTGTTTAGGTGATACTGTATTACCTAAACACAGTAATACAGTATCACTTTAACATAGTAATACATTATCACCTAAACACAGTAATACAGTATCACCTAAACACAGTAATACAGTATCACCTAAACACAGTAATACAGTATCACCTAAACACAGTAATACAGTATCACCTAAACACCGTCACACAGTATCATCTAAACACAGTAATACAGTATCACCTAAACACAGTAATACAGTATTACTAAACACAGTAATACAGTATCACCTAAACACAGTAATACAGTATCACTTTAATATAGTAATACAGTATCACCTAAACACAGTAATACAGTATCACCTAAATACAGTAATACAGTATCACCTAAACACAGTAATACTGTATCACATAAACACAGTGATACAGTATCACATAAACACAGTAATACAGTATCACCTAAACACAGAAATACAGTATCACCTAAACACAGTCATACAGTATCACCTAAACACAGTAATACAGTATCACCTAAATACAGTAATACAGTATCACCTAAACACAGTAATACAGTAACACCTAAACACAGTAATAAAGTATCACCTAAACACGGTAATACAGTATCACCAAAACACAGTAATACAGTCTCACCTAAACACAGTTATACAGTATCACCTAACCACAGTTATACATTATCACCTAAACACACTAATACAGTATCACCTAAGCACAGTAATACAGTACCACCTAAACACAGTAATAAAGTATCACCTAAACACATTAATACAGTATCACCTAAAAACAGTAATACACTATCACCTAAACCCAGTAAGACAGTATCACCAAAACACAGTAATACACTATCACCTAAACACAGTAATACAGTATCACCTAAACACAGTAATACACTTTCACCTGAACACTAAATCATTTACGTTATCACACTGAGTAATAATATCAAAGTGTTACTTCATTAAAAAAACAATGTACATACTATACGTGTCGCAACGTTTCAAGACCAACTGGACTGGTAAAACGTTGATAAGACATATTTCTAACTTATGACCCTGAGTAATGTTAGATTATAATGGTATACATTTACCGTGGCGTAAGAAGACTGTATTGGAGTGGCTGTTGAATATGGATACGTTTTGGAGTTCGCAAGGGTTTCTCCGGACTTACATTGGTACGGGACTACATTAGACGCATGGGACGCAGCAAATAGGGTCCCGTTAAAACTGTTGTTATCTCGAACGCCACAACACTGATACTGAAATGGAAAACAAATATATTTTTATCTTGAAAACGTGATTTGGGACTATAAGAAACAAATAGTGAAAGATTTTCAAAATTAATTTCAAACATACTGTCGAGAAAAATGTTTGATATCTTATTTAGATACGAATATATTCAAATACGTCTATTTCTTAATTTTCATGTGAGGTGAACATTTTTCATAACGTAATATGTGCGTTGATTTTTATGTTACATTCCAAGTTATGTCAATTTCATGTTTACCGTGAGGAATATTGCATTCCAGGACTGAGTGTAATGCAACCCTGTAGGGTCACTATCCCCGTATACAAGGAACTCAGCGGATAGTTGATCTGACATCCCATCTCCTACCTGCTCAACAGAATATTTAAAAGTAAAATTTCATTATGAAAGAATTCGTATAAATGAATTACTGTAGTATAATTTATCATTTCCTACGCTTTTCATAAAAATATCTCTCAGTGGATATTTTAAAATTACAAGTTATAGACAGACTAATTGAACATAAAGCTAGGAGAGTATCAACTTAAAGATGGACGTGACACGCTAAACCTTTATGCATGAGTGATGACCTATTATGTGATATTTACAAAAGAAAGTAGAGAATAAGTGAAACATTTAAATAATTTGTTCGTTTAATGTTTTTGTTTAACGGCCCATCGACGGCTGTGGTCATTAAGGGCAATGGTTATTTTTTATTTTTTATTTTTTTTTATTTTCTTTAATCAAACATGTGAGTAGCGAAGATAAGATCAGATAAAAATGTTCATTTTTAAAAGCATTAGCATTGTATGTGTAGATTATTAAAATAAAAAGGGGGTTAAAATAATAAAAGAGATAACGAATAGATGATATGGACTATGTGATATATATAACGTCAAAGAGGGTAAGGTGGGTTAAAAGACATCTATAAAATAGACCGATGTCTTTCAAATAGTTAAATAATGCCTTCAAGTCCACGGAACTGAAATGGTTTTAATATCCGGGAGTCGAAAGTAGTTATCACGAATGTGTTTAAAATCGGAACATTCTATTAAAAAACGTTCCACTGTAAATGGAGTGTCACATGCGTGGCATGAAGGTGGATGTTCTCGTTTTAAAAAAGATCATAAAGGTGTGCATTGATTGGATATCACAACGATTTAATAGGACTTCAGTCAGACAAACTTGTTAATGATATGAATCTCTCAAGCAATGGGAGTTAATGGGAGTTAAGCCAACAAAGTTGGAGTGCTCCGACATCTTGTCAGTTTTATTTTGTATTTTTTGTGCTTTGGTGGAGAAGATGCAATGCCGGAAATAGCTGCTACGTCAAAAACTGTGGTGTTTAAATATATAAACATCTACGATAAAAATATATTGAAAGGAAACAGTAATAAAATCTCTCACCCCCTTGGGGGTGAGATAGGGGAATCTCAACTCGAGTGGGGAAACCCTTAAGTTGCCAAACACGAGGCTTTGCCGAGTGTTTGACAACTCAAGAATCTTTCCCCGAGGGTTGGGATTCCCCTATCTTACCCCAAGGAGGTGAATTATTCTTTTTCTCTTACCCTGTTCTCCCATTGTGTATCATATACACAATGTAATGATAACGTTACATGCTAAATTCAGGGTTGACGTGACGTTGATAAATTGTTGATATGACGTCATTGTATTGTGAAGTGACGTCATACCATTGTTATGAATAGGGGAATCCCCCCGTCTCAACCATATTGGGTGAGACTAATATAATCTTTCACCTCCTTGGGGGTGAAACAGGGTAATCTCAACCCGAGGGTTGAGATCCCCCTGTCTCACTCCCAAGGGGGTGAATGATTATTTTTCTCTTACCCTGTTTACCCTTGTATTTTATATAGACGTTACATCAATGCAAGACAATGTTGATGTGATGCGGCTGAATTGTCGACGTGACGTCATTGTATTATTGTCGTGACGTCATGGAATTGTTGCTATGACGTCATACAATTGTTGAGAACGTGCAAGAACACGTGTAGCTTGTTTCACCCCTAGGGTGAGATAAGAAAATCTCACACCGGTAAAATGGTGGATATCCCTGTCCAGGGTAAGAGAATAATAAAATTTTCCCCTACCTTGAGGGTGTGACAGAGAAACAAAACACACACCGAGGGTTGAAGATTTCTCTGTTACACCCTCAAGGTAGGGGATGATCATTTCTTTAACATCCTATTATTTCAGTCACAACTCCACACTTTTCCATGATTGTAAACACAAACACATGTGGGATATGCATAATCGTCATTCACTTTTGATGACGTCACAATTACAGATGACGCATTTTAATGACGTCACAATTAATTGAACACGTGCTAATCGGAACGAGGCTATCTCCCCTTAGGGGGTGACAAGCTGATCTTTTCCGGCTAAAACGGGAGACACACTTGTGAAGGATGGGAGAGAGGAAACCTCACACCTTTAAAAATGCGGATACACCGGTCCAGGATAAGAGAATAGTTTTTCTGTGACTGAGACTTTTGCAAAATAATCCTAAAATTGGTATGCGATACATATACGTCATACAGCGGTGCCAATATACCTGGATTGAAGTCGTCCTCGTGTTTCGACCAGACATACATGAAAGATCGCACTATTGGTACCTTTGGCGCCGTTCCATGACCTTGCTTAAAATCGAATCAATAAGAGGTGATATGTTAATGTAAGGTTACGGTGAGGCCCCTATAGTATTTTATCGCACCTCGGACAAAAATGTCCAAAAACCATTGGTTTAGAGCTGTCACGTGGTGACCCTCTAATTTTCTATAGAGGGTCAGTGGGATTCTATTATAGGGCAATCTGGCCGCCCATTGCTCACCGCTTCAAAACTAAAACAACAGATACGGGTACCTGAATATTCTAAAAATGATACAATGCTCACCGTAATTCCTATTCGCTACATTGTATCGTAAGATGATAGGAGTTTCCTCCCCTACACCAGGCAAAAATAGTAAGACAGACGTTGTCGCCAGCGACCGTCTTTTGTTTTAGCGTGGGTGCCGTCCCCTTATCTAAGCGTTTCGGCGACATTGACAGACAACAACAATGGAGAGATTTGAGCAGACGACCACCGAGGAAATAAACTCGAAGCGACTTAACAGTCAATCTGCTAAAACACAAAAAGCCATCTTCCACAATTGCAGTGTTACTATTATGCAAAATCTCACAATTAACAAATGAGAAAATGTTAACGATCTGTGTAACATCTTGTTCCAAGGACAAAAAAAACCTGTTACATGTTATGTTTTTGTTATATAATTTATTTTATTTTCATTTATCAAAGTTGATTAAATTTGTTAAATATTCATATTGTTTTGTTATGCATACATCATTTTCATTTTAAGCAAAAAGGGTCCTCGATGCGATAAATTCGCCCTCGGCCCCTATAAATCATACCGACCCTCTATGGTTCTGTAGAGGGTCAGTAACTGACTATATAACTAATAATCTGGTTGGACCGGTACTTGGAACATTTATTGTTTTTTCTTACAACACTTTTGCAGTAAATCAGCCCTGTTGTTAACAAGGTTGCATTGAAAACGCAATTATGAACTTACCGCTGTCAGAAGGGTTATCCAAAACACAAGTGTAATTAGGATCATCACAGCCATCACGACCTGGTATGTCACGTGCTGCAATAGATTGGTTTGGTTTAGTATCGTTTAACGTCCTATCAGCAGCTATGGTCATTTAAGGACGGTCTCCCCTGTGTGCAAGATGCATGCGTGTAGTGTATGCATGTGTGTTTTGGGAGGATGCGATATGTTCTCGTTTGTCTCCTTGTGATAGCGCGGAACTGATGCCGACTTTATAGTGCTACCTCACTGAAACATTCTGACGAAGACACCCAGCAGGACACCCCACCCGGTCACATTATACTCATAACGGGCGAACCAGTCGTCCCACTCCTGAATTGCTGAGCGTTAAGCTGTAGTAGAAACTACCATTTTTACATACTCTGGTACGTCTCGGCCAGGGGACAGAACCCAAAGTCTTCCTCACAGGGGCGAACGCTCAACTAAAGACCAAAAGTGAGGCATTGTCCAGGGAGACAATAGGAAGAAGAAAGTTTGAAGAGAAAATGTAAGATCCCAAATGTAGTCGCCTCTTACGTTCATGAAATGGGGGCAGCAGGTACAATTCTTACGCCCTACCTGCAGGGACAGCTAACTATATATATATATAAACTTCCGAAATAGGAACTGTTTTACAAACATTAACAATTATGATTGCTTTCTGCTGAAATTCTACTTCATGTAAAGTACAACCAATTCCATTCCGCATTAACTATGAATTCCAAATGAAAGTCAATCAATACTTATATGCAGTCACGCTGTGTGCGTACAATGACATACAATATAATAGCTGCAGGTTTTGATATCAAAGAAACTAATCATAAGAGAAGTGCTGATAATTACACAATAAATCAAGCTTCTAAACAAACTTATTATAGAGGATAAGATATACCGTTGCAAATTAACATTCAAATAATAACTTACCACTTTGGATTTGGTATCAGATTTGTAACATAACATATTGAAACCAAGGCCACATGAAAACAGATTTAGGCAACCAATCAGAATCATCGTAAAAGTGAGACCAATGACGATGTCGGGGAGATAGTAGTTGTTAAATCGCAGATTCTCAAACACCGGAAGTACCAGGCTGTCGGTGACGAAACGGCTTTGGGTGATTACGACACCCCCAATTAGCAACACAGCAGAACAAATCTGAAAAATCGAACATACACATCAGCATTACCAAACGTTATGTTATTCGATTCATAATGACAATTTATTCGAAACAGCAGAACGTGAGTGGTTGTTATTGATATAATTTAACTTATAACACTCTCGGAACTTTGAACCAGTTCCTGTCGGCAGTGAGGTCTAGAAAGTTTGACAGCGTTTGAACGCCATTGCACTCGTAGTCAAGGGTACGACTCCTAATTACCGGGTAACATATATTATGAAATAATTGTTTAGATATTGTCTTTCTTGTTCGTATGTGAATTCATGTTATAACAAGAGGCCCATGGGCCTTAACGGTCACCTGAGTTATGTAAAAACTGTTAACAATATACATGTGTTGACTGGGTTTGAGGACCACATGTGTTATGTAGAACCAGAGGACTAATCTGTTGCCCAAGGCCGAAGGCCGAAGGTAACAGTTTGGTCTGAGGGTTCAACATAACACATATTGACCGAAAACTCAGTCTACAAGTGTTTTGTTATACCTTTTTCGAAATTTCTGACGTTTCCAATTTGGATTTATCTTGAAAAAAATCCTGTGCTCATTCGGTGTGCTTCGCTTCATTATACTCTGTTCTTAATTTCTCTGCAACTCTGATCACTTTCTTGGTGTTTGTACTGTCTCTGTTATTAAGAATTTCATCAATTTCTGCAGCAGTAATAGTCCGCAAATCTGTCCATGATATACATAAACATTGCAGACGGCCGGAAGCAGACATGAGCAATACTTCCTATAGGGATGCCACTATTGGTAATTGCTTAACAGCGGAAGTTGCCACTAATGGCCGGGAAGTACCGAATAGTAATGAGCTCTGACGTAAGCAGTCAACATTTCACTGAAAGCCAGTCAAAATTTCTATGTTGACCGGTCAACATTTTTCTGAGGCGAACATCTGGAATTTCGAACTTTTTTTTTTACTATAGAAGAGTATAGAGAATAAAAAGTAAAGATATAATAATGTTATCGATGTTGCCAAATGAAAAAAAGAAATCATTTTGTACCAAATGTAACTTGAAATACATGTAATGCAAAAGTAGTGTGGAAGATCTGGGTAGTATATGTACTACATTTGTATGTACAAATAGTGGTTCTGTCAGTCAGCTGAATTTTGGTAAAGCACCTTAAGATCCTTCCAACTATGAAGAGTATTTCATTGTACCATATCTGGATCTTGAGAAGAAGATTTTTATTTTTTTTAGTCAATTTGACACCTTTCCAGGCCCCTGGGGGCTGGGGACCATATCATTCACAATTAAACTACAGTACAGTTTTCCCCATCCCCAGGGGGTAATGTGAGATCCCAGGGTCATGAAATTCACAATTTTGGTAACGCACCTTAAGACCCTTCCATATATGAAGAGTATTTGATTCTATCATATCTGGGTCTTGAGAAGAAGATTTTTGAAATTTCAGTCAATTCAACACTTTTTTTGGCCCCACCCATCAGCCCCTGGGGGTCAGTCAGGGCTGATTTGTACATATCATCAAACTGCTATCCAATACTGATAATGCTAACCAAGTTTGAATCAATTCCAATGGAAATTAAACAAATGCTGGTCCAAAATCTGATTTCCCTATATAAACTATAGTAAAGTTTACCCCCTCCCCAGGGGGAAGCATGATACCCCAGGGTCATGAAATTTACAATTTTGGTAAAACACCTTAAGACCCTTCCATCTATGAAGAGTATTTGATTCTACCATATCTAGGTCTTGATAAGAGGATTTTTTTTAAATTTTAGTCAATTTGACCCTTTTTGGCCCCGCCCCTTTAAGCCCCTAGGGGCTGGGGACCATACAATTATCAATTTTAGTTGACCTTTGGCCATGGATGGTTTCTGCAAAAAATTCATTCAAATTGGTTCAGGGGTTTTGGAGAAGAAGTCAAAAATGTAAATTGTTTACGGACGCACGACGGACGACGCACGACGCACGACGCACGACGCCGGACAAAAGGCGATCGCATTAGGTCACTTGAGACTTTGTCTCAGGTGACCTAAAAACAAGAGTATTAGGAAAATTACCTAAAGAAAAAATTGTAATGTTCTTTAAATGATAAAAATGAAACACAGAGATAGAAGCGGTATCAATAGACTCTCAACTGATAGTACAGAATACAGTGGTGTTTTCACAATCGTTACGTGAGGAAATCTGACGTCACTTTACAAGAAACAGACGTTATAAAAAAACAGACGTTATAAAATAATTTTGACTTGAACTTATTGGATCGCAATATCAACAAGTACTTTCAAATTTATCTAGAACATCCACTGTCCTGGCAAGTATTTATTTATTCTGTGATAAACTTACGCCACCAAAATCTTTGTAAAGCGATCGGGTTCATACGTTCTCTCAAACGAACGACGATATGATATTAACCTTACAAAGAAGGTCGGATTTCTTTGTTGATATTTTCCATAAAATACCTACCATGTCACCTGCCTGTATAACGACGAAAACAAATTTCATTCTACACCTGTGAAAAGAAATTGAAAGTTTATGTTATATGAACAAGATACTGGCTAGGGACGTAAACGTTAATAATCTAACACTTTAGCGGCGACATTTTTAATAAATGATTATTGCACGCAGGCCTTTATCCTTAAATGCGCCAGGTACACTGTCATGCCGTATGTTACAGTTAGTGTTGATAAGGAGAAAAATGATGTACATGTTCGAATAATATCTGTTCTGCATAAAGATATATTTATATTTACTGAATAATCTGAACACTTCTCTGCACAGCTGTACGCTAGAGTTTGAGCTGTAACGTTTGAAAAGAATTAAGTACCGTATTTTATCGCAAATACCCCCCNCGCCATCTTGGATATATACCACTGTTTTGATTTATGACCACACTAAATAGCATGTACTTATCCACTGTAGTTGTTCATGTTGTAAAAATAACAACTAACAAACATAATATTTTATAACAGTCACCAAAAGTTGATTAGTTGATGGTGCTGTTGTTTTTCTTAGCTTATTTTCTTTCATCAATTTGTCTCGATAATTCAATTTTATCAAACACCATTTTTATGTGCTTTTTTTTTATATTATTGATAAGTCAATCAGTACTCTTGAAGACACAATACCAACATTCAGAGGTGTAAAAAATTAATAGCACGACGACCAGGCACTCTGGTGTTTGGCTAGCGCCACTATTACATGATTTGAATATATACCGTACTATGAAGAAATTCGAGTATACAAGGCTTAATTAACACAAAACCATTGTCTTAATCATACAAAAACAACACAACAACTTATCTGTATGCAGGTTGCAAGCATTATGACCAAGAGACATGTTTTTATGGATAAAAGTCTTCCAAAGACACTGTATTGGTTGATACAAATTTCAAAATGGCAATTTGATTTTTTTTTTCATATCAAATCTTTCTGTCAAGGTCAAGGAGTTCGACCTTGACAGAAAGATTTGATATGATTTTTTTTTATCAATTTGAAAACGATTTTACCTCTCTGTAACAACTCATAAATATATTTTAAAATGTATTCATAATTTACTACTTCAGTACAGACTATAGAAATAATGGATTTGGTACAAGCAACATGTTTCGTTTTACATTGAAATCTGCAAAATACACAACCGGTTAAAAACCGAAAGCATAGTGTTCTTCCAGCAACAGAACTATGGGTTTTTTTAAGTTATGCCATCTAGAAATCTTGATATTTTGTTATGTTTACATCATATTCCATAATCATGTGTTATAATATGCATCTTTAATTCACTCATGAATACATAATTCTTTATAAAAAAGCAATACAGAATCACAGTAAAGAGTGCATGTCACCACATCATATTTACTATTGTGCCTAATTCAGAAACAAAGTTATTTGTAGTATTTACATTTAGCTAATTTGCTTATGTCAGAGACAAAAATTGACATACATTTTTTTTGAGATGGAGACGAAATTAGGGAGGGGGCTGAATTGCAGTCACCCACCCTGTTCCCAGGACATTTACCAAAGTGAAGAGGGGGCTTATTTGCGAGAAGGGGCTTATTTGTGGTAAAATACGGTACAACATTCAGCATATTAAATGCACTTTATGAGCGCGGGAGGAATGTGGTCAATTCGAAGAAGGTAAAATGCATACAAACTCCTTCGCAAATAAAAACAACATATAGTTATGAACTTGGCTATTTATAACATCTTTTCGAATGTTTACATAAAAAACCTTGGAATATAAGTATTTTTGTGTCTATAATAGAAAAAACAAGTAAATATGCCTGATGCTCTCTTTCAGAGAACGATGGCTACTTCGCTTTGACCTAGATTTACATGGCGATTGACGTCAATCAATCAGAGAACGCCTACTCTTCCGGAACACATGATATGACTACTTGTCCTTTTCCAATGGTCTGAATGTTATGCTTCCTTTTTTCGTATCCTGATTATTTCACCGACTTTGAGTTCAAAATTTGTTTTGTTTAGACTTCAGTTTAATATACAGAAACTAAGATACCTATATCTTCAATCGTACTTAACACTGTTTTCACAAGAAAATTTAAGACCTATATTTGTAAATATTCGAATGTTTGAAATTCACATAAATGAAAATAGGAATGAAAAATGTTTAACCATTAAAATAGGATAAAGATTTTATGTGTTTAGTGTAAACGATACTCTAAAGTGACACAAAAGGGTGATGTTCTCACGTATTCCAGGAAACCCACACAAATAGCCGACACCGACCAAACATTCCAGGCGACCGCCCTGGTCTGTCAACACGCCGATAGACAATTCCCGAGAGAACAATGTTGATGATCTGCAACAAAAACACGCTGATATGAGAACCTCGAAATTCCAAATGTTACGCTTTCTTACGTTCAATTCAATTCAATTCATTTATTCTGTAAGCCTTACGGCTTTGTACAATTTGTACAAAGTTCATGCAGTTGTTCAGGAGAGTGACAATTGTAAATTGATACATTAACAAACTATGGAAACATGTACACACACAACCGATATATATGCGCCCCTGTAATATGTTATGTCGAAATCGACGGCCCTGTACGCGCCAATTTTGGGATAATACAATTGGATTAGTTTGATCCTTTGATGAACCTCAAAAGAACTGATGTATCATAACGGCAAAAATTGACGCGTTACCCCTGGAAGTTTAAGGTTGCTGATATGCATCCAATTGGAAGACGCCTGTTACAGATAAATAAAAGGCAGAAAGTCGCACTTGTATTCCTAGAATAGAAGAGTTTATATTTTCTGGCCATTTCCCAGATTGGAGATTAGGTATTGCAAAGTGAAAGAAAAAGATTTATTTTAATTTCCAATCTACTCCACGGACCACCTGACTTCAAAGCAGAAATCTGTGCTACCAGTAAATATGATCTCTGTTATAATACTTTTCGTCAAAAAATCCCGGAAAAAGCTCACAGCTTTAACATGTGTTGGTTTGAGTACAGAGAAAATATTTTTTTAGCAAAAATACTTTTCAATGCCTGTATGAATAAGATATGTGATTGGACTCTCCATCTTAATATAGCTTTAATGCACTGTCTATACGTCATAATATAATGATTGCTTATGTAACGGAAACCTAACCATGTTTTCATAGCATCTAATTACAATCATATCATTAAAGTTAAAATTAGGAGGCACGATAGTCTAGTGGTAGGACGCCGGGCTACAGGAGGCACGGTAGTCTAGTGGTATGACGCCGGGCTACAGGAGGCACGGTAGTCTATTGGTAGGACGCCGGGCTACAGGAGACAAGGTAGTCTAGTGGTAGGACGCCGAGCTACAGGAGGCACGGGAGTCTAGTGGTAGGACGCCGGGGTACAGGAGACAAGGTTGTCTAGTGGTAGGACGCCGGGCTACAGGAGGCACGGTAGTATAGTGATAGGACGCTGGGCTACAGGAGGCACGGTAGTCTAGTGGTAGGACGGCGGGCTACAGGAGGCACGGTAGGATAGTGATAGGACGCTGGGCTACAGGAGGCACGTTAGTCTAGTGGTAGGACGGCGGGCTACAGGAGGCACGTTAGTCTAGTGGTAGGACGACGGGCTACAGGAGGCACGTTAGTCTAGTGGTAGGACGACGGGCTACAGGAGGCACGTTAGTCTAGTGGTAGGACGCTGAGCTACAGGAGGCACGGGAGTATAGTGATAGGACGCCGGGCTACAGGCGGCACGGTAGTCTAGTGATAGGACGCCGGGCTACAGGCGGCACGGTAGTCTAGTGGAAGGACGCCGGGCTACAGGACGCACGGTAATCTAGTGGTAGGACGCCGGGCTACAGGAGGCACGGTAGTCTAGTGGTAGCACGCCGGGCTCGTGATCGAAGTGTTGCGTGTTCGAGTCACGGAACGGCGCTGTGTTGTATCTTTGAGCAAGATACTTTACTACCCTTGTTCCAGTCAAATCAGCTGTAAATGAGTACGTGGTTGGGCAGTGCTAGCTGTTAGCGCCGAAATGGCGGCTCCGGATGTTTGCTCCCCAGGGAGTTGAGAAAGGTATTGGCTGGTTGCAAAGGCCCTATAACCACGGATAATTATTTGTGAACCGCTTTGAGACGACCAACGAACTAAGTTTGTGATAAAGTGGTATATAAGTACCTCGAATTATTATTATTTACAAATTTAACTTCTTTGTGGAACATTTAGCGAAAATGTGTACATTACTCGCCATTGTTTTACCCTGACCTGAATATGTATTCTGTGACACACTTACTTCCATTATGATACTTAGTGATAACACACTGATGAATACCCGGATGTTTGAATCCATAACTTGGTAATACTTATCCCAGCACCTGACACCTTGACTTGTGACATCGCAATCCATCTAAAATAAAAATAAACGAGAAATGTAATGAACAGGTAAGCACGCACAGTGATGTTAGTGAAATTGGTATGCTCTGGTTACCCAACGAGATCAGTTAACTACTGTTAGTGAGATAGATATACTCTGGTTACACAACGAGACCAGTTAACTACTGTTAGTCAGATAGGTATACTCTGGTTACACAACGAAACTTTTTTTCTGTTAACTACGGTTAGTGAGAAAGGTACACCCTGGTTTAACAACGAGATCTGTTAGCTACGGTTAGTGAGATAGGTAAACTCTGGTTACACAGCGAGATCAGTTAACTACGGTTAGTGAGATAGGTAAACTCTGGTTACACAACCAGATCAGTTAGCTACGGTTAGTGAGATAGGTATACTCTGGTTACACAACGATATCAGTTAACTACTGTTAGTGAGATAGATATACTCTGGTTACACAACGAGACCAGTTAACTACTGTTAGTCAGATAGGTATACTCTGGTTACACAACGAGACTTTTTTCTGTTAACTACGGTTAGTGAGATAGGTATACCCTGGTTAAACAACGAGATCTGTTAGCTACGGGTAGTGAGATAAGTATACTCTAGTTACAGAAGGAGATCAGTTAACTACTGTTAGTGAGATAGGTATACTCTGGTTACACAACGAGATCCGTTTACTACTGTTAGTGAGATAGGTATACTCTGGTTACACAACGAGATCAGTTAACTACTGTTAGTGAGTTAGGTATACTCTGGTTACACAACGAGATCTGTTAATTACTGTTAGTGAGATAGGTATACCCTGGTTACACAACGATATCAGTTAACTACGGTTAGTGAGATAGATATACTCTGGTTACACAACGAGATCAGTTAACTACGGTTAGTGAGATAGGTATACTCTGGATACACAACGAGACCAGTTAACTACTGTTAGTGAGATAGGTATACTCTGGTTACACAACGAGATCTGTTAACTACTGTTAGTGAGATAGGCATACTCTGGTTAAACAACGAGATCTGTTAACCACTCTAAGTGAGATAGGAATACTCGGGTTACACAACGAGATCTGTTAACTACTCTTAGTGAGATAGATATACTCTGGTTACCCAACGAGATCAGTTAACTACTGTTAGTGAGATAGGAATACTCTGGTTACACAACGAGATCTGTTAGCTACTGTTAGAGAGATAGGTATACTCTGGTTACACAACGAGATCAGTCAACTACTGTTAGTGAGATAGGTATACCCTGGTTACACAACGATATCAGTTAACTACGGTTAGTGAGATAGATATACTCTGGTTACACAACGAGATCAGTTAACTACTGTTAGTGAGTTAGGTATACTCTGGTTACACAACGAGATCTGTTAACTACTGTTAGTGAGATAGGTATACTCTGGTTACACAACGAGATCTGTTAGCTACTGTTAGAGAGATAGGTATACTCTGGTTACACAACGAGATCAGTTAACTACTGTTAGTGAGATAGGTATACCCTGGTTACACAACGAGATCAGTTTACTACTTTTAGTGAGATAGGTATACTCTGGTTACACAACGAGACCAGTTAACTACTGTTAGTGAGATATGTATACTCTGGTTACACAACGAGATCAGTTAACTACTGTTAGTGAGATAGGCATACTCTGGTTAAACAACGAGATCTGTTAACCACTCTAAGTGAGATAGGAATACTCTGGTTACACAACGAGATCTGTTAACTACTGTTAGTGAGATAGGTATACTCTGGTAACACAACGAGATCTGTTAGCTACTGTTAGTGAGAAAGGTATACTCTGGTTACACAACGAGATCAGTTAACTACTGTTAGTGAGATAGGTATACTCTGGTTACACAACGAGATCAGTTTACTACTTTTAGTGAGATAGGTATACTCTGGTTACACAACGAGATCAGTTAACTACGGTTAGTGAGATAGGTACAGTCTGTATACTATGGTTAAACAACGAGATCAGTTAACTACAGGAACAAACCGATTCACATAACAGATCGTCGTTTAATATGGTATTGACATTCGTAGAGATGTGTTTGATATAATAGCCCATCTGTATAAAAAGACACATGACAGTGTACTCACGGCATCAAACAGTGCCACAATGGAAGAGTTCACCTCACTGTTTAGATTGCTATTGGTATAGTCCCTGTAGTACTCAGCAAACCGCGCCTTTATCCACGAGTTAATCTAAAATACAACGACACATATAAGTTAAGGAAATATTGGATTTTAAATGTGTTTTACATATCAATAAATTAACGAAAATTGAAATTATACTGAATACAAAAACCGTTCCTAATGGATACCAGGTATAGGGAGGAATCTTACCGCGTACAGTAACATAGAGAGGAGAACGATACAGAGGGTATCCACCACAACGCAAAACAAGAGGAAACAGGTATGCTGAAACAAATATAACACAAAAGAGTAATGTTAGATGAGTAAACATAATAATAATAATTTAATTCCGAATAATATGAATAGCATAATTATATCTAAAAAACCCACTATAAAACCTAAAAGTTCCTCTTTTGTGAAGTTCTCAGCGAAAATGTAACGTTAACTACTGTATTCCCCCAAATATTGTGACCACATTTTATGAATATGAAAAATAAATACTACAATTATAATAAACAAAAAAAATGTAAAAAAAAATTCTAACAAAATAGAAAATATACTCACAATAATGATGATAACTTTGTTTCTACGGATAACACCAAAAAATCCGAGAAATCCGAAAATTGTGTGAAGAGGGAACAAGGAAAAAAGAGCATAGATGAGTCCGGCGGAGAGGTTTCCGAGTGGCATCCCGCCTATGACAAACTGATTTAGCAGTGGGAACGCCGCACGATGTATCACTCCATTCTTAGTTATCATTAATACACCCAGGATGATGTAGAAAAGTCCACATAGCTGAAAAATAGTGTGACATGTTAAGCAAGTTACTGGAATATACAGTGCGGCACAAATAACGTGCACAAGTTAAAATTACATGATATAGTAATGACGTCAGAACGTTTAGAAGTGAAATAAAAATATGTAACACGACACGTGGTTATAATAATAAACTTTAATTATTGAGGATAAAATACATGTTTAGCCAAAGGCTAATCTTCCACATGGTCCTTTTGTTAGTAACGTCAATGTCGCGTACAGTGAAACGTCACACGACATGTGATAATGATGTACAAAAGTAAACACTATCGCGTCAGAGACGTAGCGAGGGTAAACTTTATGTGACATTCTACAGTAATGTATTGAGTTCATGTTTTACCAATGACTTGTACAGGAGTAGAGACGAAATATCAAGTATGCTAGTGATCTCGGATAAATCTGAACAGCTTTGATAAATTAATCATGGAATCCTCAGAATACTTGCACCATGTTATCATCAATGAAGAATGACGTTCTTACCAAAAAGAAATAAATGTATTGATAACAAAACAGCAGTGTTGATATATTTTTTCTCTCGAAATAGCTCGTTTATGACACAAATTCAGAAAGTAAGATGTTTTCATAGATAAAATAAACGCAATGTAGACTATAAACAATATCGTATATGAAGCGAAAAGAATATTTGTTTTTAAGGCGTAAATAATCTTAATAAATATGTTTGTTTTCATCTAAACAAAGCAAAGAACTCGTGTGCAGCAGCTGATAAACTTAAAGACCATCTCGATATCATTTGGAAGATAGGGAAGAATGTTTGAGGTTGCTTTACAGTACCATACTGTTCGTAATCTATGTATGCAGTTTAATGCATAACAACAGGAATTACTCGCTAATTATAACTACAACACACACAAAAAACAACGGAAACCCATCTGTATTGGTGGATACTTACTCGAATAAGTGTCGTACAAACAAGAATCGCATGAGCTAATTTTGTGAAGCGCCCCTTCGTCTTAGGATCGTAATTCACGACTGTCATATTTAAAGTCAATATGACATTCCGGTTCCCTCCAGATCAAGATGTCGTCGATGTGGCCCCACGCCCTACAAGATCGAAATATAGACACACTAGAACATTACAGGCCTTAAGTTAATGGCATTACATATGGAGTAGATCATGTACAAAATGCATGTCGCTAGTAAATTTGACGTTAAAATGATACAATTTGCTCACACAAATAACGTAAGAACAGAGGATATTATAGCTTGTTATCGCAAGTTCTATTTGGATCATTCTAGTAAACAATCAAAACAAACAATTAAACAACAAAATATAAATTTCCAATGTGAAAATGGGAAGTTTGATAAAAAAAATGAGATGGGTCTTTGGTCATCTAGCCACCTTTGCTTCCAACTTTATTTTGGTTAGATATCAAGACGACTGAGTTTCTAGGACATTTGTGTTTTGCACGTATACCACCCTGTCCTCCACCTGACAAAGGGTGACTAGAATTTACTGTATATCTATTTTGTTACAGTTTTAATATCATGCATTACTTTGCACTGTGTTAGAAATGTGTTTTTTTTCTCATTATTTATTTTTATGTGTATTTGTATGTGGGTTATTGTTTTTTATGCTTCCCTAAATATCTAGTTTGTTTACAGTACAAACAAAATTTCGGGAGCAATTTGCTTCTGTTTATTCATGAACCATAATTTTGCCGATGACCCTGTATTACCTGTAAAATGTGTAACAATATAAACAATACATCAATGCTTAGCACACGAAATGGATGGATCAACAATGTAGTTTAATTTAGTTGTAAAGTTACAGTAATCATTTTGCCCACTCAGTTCTTTCAAAAAGGTTAAGTATGATGTTAGGCACAAGAAAATAATTTAGAGTTTCTCGACATAATCCAGGTAAGAATACAAAAAGACCCTTTCTTAATCCCTGTAATTTTCATATATTTAAGTATTGCAGCTTTCTTCTATTCAATAAGTTTGTTAACATTCTAATATAAAATACTCATTCTGTCGGTATTCATCTAAGGGTTGACTGTAAAGAAAAGTATGATTATTGATTCCAACCTTATTTGCCATGTTGGGAAAACAAACAAGAATATGTCTTAAATCCTTGATCTATCATGGACGTAGTTTAAGCCTGCATTCGTATCTCTAGCCTTGACCCGATATCCTAGCAACATCTTTGTTACAAAAACAGTTTGTTTGATTCTAAGTGACGACCCTCGTTTATCAACACTGGCAGGCTTATTGGCAGTGATAGCGTTTAATAAAAAATAGGGTTTGATAAAGTTTAAATGATATTTCAGCACTTTCCGACAATCACCCTCCACGGTAAAATACTATTTATTGACAAAGATAACCTAAGAACTAAAGTCACCAAGCACAACTTCACATGTATACCTGTTATTGAGGTGGGATAAATGTTCTAGAAAATGTCAATAAACATTCGTGGACTAATTAAATGTAAAAACGATGACAGTACTGAAACTAACAGCACTTGTCTTCGATCAGAACCATGCATTTTTATTTTATTTTCCATGTTTCAGCAAAATCCTTTCATAGATTAAAAATTTGAACAAGATTCTCAAAATGCCAAAATAATTCGAAATATCTAGCTTTTCCGATGATGCGATATAACCCGGGGACGCACACACTAGTTTAGCAGCATAGAACATGACACTGGCTGGTTAGGTGACCAGCTGGCACGTTTCCATACATTTCCGGATTGCGTCTATGTCCTTCAGATTAGATTTCAAATCGGCTCAAATATAACATGAAAGAGTTTGACGAAATTTCAGCAGATTTTGGGGAACTGAGCATATATTTTTGGGTCCTATATGACAAAAAGTGGTCAGAACCACAGTCCTATTATTCCAACTAATCAATCAATTTCAGTGAAAGCTGTTTTTTCAGATTTTGATTGTAAATTTTAAATGGATTTTCTCAAGATAGGTTCCAAGATGACTGCCATGGCGCCAATATATGATATTCAATTATTTTTCTTAATCACAATAAGTTCAGCAACATCAATTAAGTGGAACTTGAGTTATAATCCATATTGCTGCAATGACGGCCATATTTAAATCGGCACCATAACCAAAAAAAATGTTTTGGGTCAAATATCATTCAGTTTTGTCAGAATGAGGGCTGGACTGACTTACTTTCATGTCATCATGAAGCCATTAGTTACTCCAAGGTATATTTATGAACAAAATAAAAGATTTAATCATTTTCGGTACCAACTAGAATGTCCTAATTGTCATTCAACCTTTGAATATCATTCACCCGCCCGATTCGCCAATGCGTACTTCCCTGTTCCAGCTGCCCGATTCACCTTGGTCTGGCTAGAGTCCGACCTCCAGACCACTGGCTATGTACATACCTTATACTTCAGCTTTTCAACTGACCTTGGTCTGGCTGATTACATACCTCTAATTCTGACCGGCCATATCCGTTGGCTCTGCCTACAGTTCAATATCCGTTCAGCTCAGCTCTGAAGTATGGTCTTAATATGTAATCACCTCACCAGGAGGTGGTATCGTGATTAAATGTGTATGAAACACATATCAGGGTTTTGGTATTTTGTCGATGTTTTTTAAGTCTCATATATATATTAGTTGTAAAACCGATAGGAAAGGTAAATAACACGACAACCTAAACATTTATAACGTCGGCTATATGTTTGTGAGATCTCTTTACGGCGTTTAAACACAGGAAACAGATCAATAAGTGTATCAGGGGTATCTTACTTTTGCCGTCTACGGCTATATAACTGTAAGACAGTGAAGTTTTAAAACTTAGTATGTTAATTGTCAAATTTTGAAATATTTTAAAAATAGAGACTGAAACAGAAAATAAGTGAGATTTTTGATCGACTTTTAATTGATGTATTGTCTTATAAAAATATTTTTTATTTATCCATGTCATAAAACTACTTTCCAAAAAAGTTCCACAGTTGAAATTAAAATAAAAAAATTGATGCATGTTATGTTTGATTGGTCGCAAGGATATAACCATAAATAATAATAGGTAAGGTAAGGTGTTATACATCCTCACCTATAATAAAAGGTAAGGTAAGATGGTATACATTCTCACCTATCACCCAGTGAGGTGGCACTATAAATGATACCGTTGGAAGCACGGTCCCACTACAAACAGAACACAATACATCTCCAGCACACACAGACATACATACATAGGGAGATATTAGCCAGGTGGCATAGGACTAGTAGTTAGCGCCTGATAAGGCAGCTCCTGCGAATTCCTCAATATTGTATTGATTAATAAATATATATATATATGCTAATTGTATTGACTATGTATAATTGTGTATCTATGTACTGTAAAGCGGTTCAGAGTGGCTTATGTTATCTAGATAGAGCGCTATATCAAATGTTGTATATTTAGTTATTTATATAATAATGTGTAAGGTTAGGTGGTATACATCCTCACCTGTAATAGTAGGTCGGGTAAGGTGGTATACATCTTCACCTTAAATAAAAGGTAAGGTAAGGTGATATACATCAACACCTATAATAATAGGTAAGGTTAGGTGGTATACATTCTCACCTTTAATGATAGGTAAGGTTAGGTGGTATACATTCTCACCTTTAATGATAGGTAAGGTAAGGTGTTACACATCCACACCTTTAATAGTAGGTAAGGTAATGTGGTATACCTCTTCACCTATAATAATAGGTAAGATAAGATGGTATACATCCTCACCTATATCAATATGTAAGGTAAGGTGGTATACATTCTCACCTATAATGATAGGTAAGGTTAGGTGGTATACATCCTCACCTATAATAATAGGTAAGGTAAGGTGGTATACATCCTCACCTATAATAACAGGTAAGGTAAGGTAAGGTGTTATACGTCCTCACCTATAATAATAAGTAAGGTAGGGTGATATACATCCTCACCTATAATAATAGGTTAGGTAAGGTGGTATACATCCTTACCTATAACACAAACCACAGATTTAATGTATTAGAATACCTAATGTGTTCTTGAGATAACATATATATCCTTAACTCTAACTTGGATATAATGTATAAGGTAGCATACATCCTTAACTCTAACTAGGGTATAATGTATAAGGTAGCATAGATCCTTAACTCTAACTCGGGTATAATGTATAAGGTAGCATACATTCTTAACTCTAACTCGGGTATAATTTATAAGGTAGCATACATCCTTAACTCTAACTCGGGTATAATGTACAAGGTAGCATACATCCTTAACTCTAACTCGGGTATAATGTATAAGGTAGCATACAGCCTTAACACTAACTCGGGTATTATGTATAAGGTAGCATACATCCTTAACTCTAACTCGGGTATAATGTATAAGGTAGCATACATCCTTAACTCTAACTCGGGTATAATTTATAAGGTAGCATACCTCCTTAACTCTAATTCGGTTATAACGTATAAGGTAGCATACATCCTTAACTCTTACTCGGGTATTATGTATAAGGTAGCATACAACCTTAACAATAACTCGGGTATAATGTATAAGGTAGCATACATCCTTAACTCTTCCTCGGGTATAATGTATAAGGTAGCATACAACCTTAACACTAACTCGGGTATTATGTATAAGGTAGCATACATCCTTAACTCTAACTCGGGTATAGTGTATAAGGTAGCAGATATCTATTAACACCGACATGTAATACGTGACAACAACTGGAGACCAAAGAATGAAAAGTGTACGTGGACCAACACCTGAGAGAGACCATGACCTAGATAACCTAATCTAGTTTCTGGACGGTAAAACCGATTGCACAGAAGTGAAGTATATTACCACTGTACAGATTTATAACTCCATACATGTGAAATATTTACAGGCAAATCAACAGTCAGAAGCCATCTCAAGCAATGCTATTTTCCAGACAAAAACATGTTCAAATTAGAATAAAAGTATCTAATAACTTTTTTATACCAAACATATTTTGATGAAAGAAGAACTAGGTCATGAACTATAAACGACAAAAGCATCAATCCAAAATATGTGGTGGAACATATTCAAATACGGGATCAAATTGCCATATGGTCTATACATCATAATTCATGGCTATGTGTATAGTTTAATCATTATGACTGAAAGCTGACAGAAAAGAAGAAAACTATTTGTTTCGGTTTAGATGGAATACACAAGGATGGAATCAACAGAGAAGATGTTTGGAAAAGATTCGTTGGTTTATTCCTTTTCAAGATGGCCACCAAAACATCCGCTCTACTGCCTAATCAGTTGTCAGATTCCCAAAAAACTTTCAAGCAATATCAATGGAATTCAGAGAGTGTGTGTTTGTTTGTTACTTTGTTTTTTATATACATTTTACCGTAAAACGCTCTATTAACAGCTGAAGACATTTACGGACAATATTTTGTAAGATGCAACGGTTTGAAATGTGTTCGAATGACAGACTTGAAACAATTAAACTGGTGATTCATGATTCTAGACTCACAAGAAAACAGCTTATGTCAAGCTTTGTCGAAACTTCTTAGCCCTTGGCTGCGACTGTTCTTGATTTTGAAGATTGCTATGATAGCCAAGATACTAAAATATACTTGATGTATGAGCACACATTCCCATAGTTCTTTGACCAACTGGGCATTTGGCAGTAGTAATCTTTTATTGGATTATTATCATTTGGTGCCGTGCTATACTGAAACGAAACATTATATTCATTCTGGCTTTTGTGTCTGAAACGAATCTGACAACGGTTGAGGTCTTGAGAGTGCTGATACACCCATATTTCATAATCTCCATCATCACTAGGATGTTCACTGACATGGCCTGGAGCTTATGATAACAGGTAGGTGACGCACGTTATAATCTTCAAATATTCAAAACTGAGCTCAGGACAAGTGAGTGAAGATGCATTCAGGTGCGAACAGGACCCTTAAAACATGGATTGTAAAGAAAGGACAACTATTAGTAGTTTTATCTTCCAAACGTTCTGTTTCAGATTATCTTTAGCGCAGATACCTTATGTAGCACTGCGGACAAATACTAGCATCTTCATTTAAACATCCAAATGCCATTTATATTGTGGTTTTTGTTTTTACGTTTCTTGTACCTTTACTCTTACGAGAGTTCTCGATGATACGATGGCAACCTTCACCAATACATGTACCCTTTATTATGAGATGAATATTAACAAATGAGTAGGAAATATTCCCTAAAAACATGGCAAAAACAAAAACTCTGATGATAAAATGTGTAAAAAATGATAGCAAAATGTATGAGAGCGAATTCTAACAAGTGACAAGGATATTACATTTATCTCAAAATTGCTTGTTAACAAATGAAGCATATCGAATTCGGACTATTTTGTGACCTAACATGTACTGAAAGGTGTATTGTAGGCTTGCAAAGAATTCCACTACCAATTATCTAAAATCAGGTTCATTTCGTTCTGGTGGAGTCCAGGGAGGTGTCTTAGGTCCTTACCTTTATGGGTGCACAGGGTACTTTTTTGTGCGAAATGAATACATTCCACTACTATTTTTGGACTTAATTTTTGCAGACATATTTGAAATAACACTACTTCTTTATACTATGAAAAGTTTTGGTATACAAGAATAATAAGAATGAAAAGTCCTGTGTTTTACATTAAAATGTTCACAAATTGTTTGATTATCGTCACATTCTAGATGATAAATGTATTACTTTAGCACCACCTGAAAGAAAATGATCTTTTGAGTGGATACTGATGCAAAAAATATGATTTTTTTCTAGAAAAATACTTTCATGCTGATATTCCATTTTTCGACCCCCATGCTGTAATTAGGTTAATTAATCATCTTAATAATTAGCAGAGTGATTAAAAGTAGTAACTCCAGATGTATAAGGAATTAAAAAAGTGAATACAGCAGCATAAATCTCGTAGCACTACTGTAATGTAAGTTATGAGGGGGCAGGCTCCTATGTTATTTTAACATTGCTGGAAATAGTCTCTTTGGCGTCGAAAGCCACGTGTGGACCGAGTGCTCGAGATACAAAGTCTGACACGTGATATAACATGGAATATATAGCGAAAAACCTGTGTTAGTAAACCATTGTACTTGTTAAAGTCAACACATTACCTTTGCCTTTCTATTCTCAGCCTGACTCATAACTTAAGTCGGTTGTGTTTTAAACTAGAATGGAATAGAAGAGAACGAATCTGTAATCAATAGATAGTGCAATGCTTAATTCATGGGAAAGGTTATGAAACTACACATTTTTTTCTGTGTAAAACATTTAACACAAATCTGTTCTGAAGAGTATTTTTGACAATTGTTTCTTAAACATGTTATCCCTTTCGCCTTTTCCCTTGAATTCGAAAAAACATGTTAAGAAATTTCTTATAAGGTATAACATATTCGCTTAATAATGTAATTTTAACAATGTTACAACAAAACAGCGTCAGGTTTCATAAAAGAAATACGTTTTAACGATATCACGATTGATTCAACCCTTTCGTCTGTTCCTTGTGATTTTTGAGATCTATTGTCAAATGAGATACCAGCAGATTGTTGCATTGTCAGTGTACAAACCAAACACTCATAGTCGTTACAGCCAACAAAGCAAAAGGAAAAGTCTCGTGGACCTCGACAGAAAACCCACAATCCAGACGGGTAAGCGTTTCCTGTATCCGTTGTGATATTATTATACTGTTCTTGATGTCTCCTGTCAAATACCAGAAATAGTTCGAGTCAATAACTATTCCAGATATAGTAAACAAATATTTTATTATGTTTGACACGGATTGTTCTTACATAAGACAGTTGCTATCATGACGACCTTACACATTCTTCAAAGTAGAGGATACTTACAGGAACTGTGACCACTTGAATAAACCTCAAGCAATGTATTGTTTAAGGGGAATCTTAGAGTTGGGAAAATGTATACAAGCGGGGCCTGGACTGATATATCTGTGCCATAGAGTAGGCAGACATTTAACTACTGAAAGAAAAGGGAGGTTAACGATTGTGGACTTAAAGAAGTCGTGCTTATCATAGACTTTGGTAATGATGTGACCATTGTTTTTATGCTGAAGGTACATGGTATGATTGAACTGAAGAAAAGGAGTCTGCTGTAAGTAAAATTACAAGCTTGTGGTATCTGGGGACAAAGGCAAAAACGATGAAAAACATCAAAAACTTTCAATGTGGCATTGCAATATTTGGTAACCTTCTTATCTCATGCTCTTGTATAAATACAAAATACAAAATCAGAATGCAAAACAATTATGCGATGTTACTAAAAGTAGGCAACTTTTACGTCTCTGTAGCATTTAGGTTGTTTGTGTGTTACGTCCTATTAACAGCTATGGCCATTGAAGGACGTGCCAGGTTTTGAAGGTGGAGGAAAGCCGGAGTTCCCGGAAAAACCCACCGACCAACGGCCAGTCCATGGCGACTGCACCACGTAGGTCTCGAACCCGCGACCCTGTGGTGGAGGGCTAGTGGTAGCAAAAATGTCAAACGCCTTAACCACTTGGCCACCGCGGCCCTCGTTTCTATAGCTTTTTTAAAATGGAATAGCTGCATATTTGGATACAATATTTTTGAATAGTAAATTATTGCTGTAATTGGTGCTAATTGGATCTATCAGTGTCATTTTAATTAGTTATTGAATGTGTTGACAATATATAAATAAGTTTGTTCATTTATTTTTGCTTAGCATAAACACTTGTAAATGATGTGCTTAAATCGAACCAAACGTTTTACCCATACATTTTGGTGTAGCTATGGGATTATTTGTAACACTAAACAATTTGTTTTTGTGTAAATAGATGAATCAGAATTAAGCGTAAAAGTAGGTTATCAGACCCTGAGAGGACCGGGGAGCAGGTCGGCATTGCCATATCACCAAGTCTTGCTAATGTCGAGTACCTACCCGGTATATAAGTGACGAGCGGATTTACACATGTCAATGAACGGCGCCCTCTTGTTGGTGTGAGGGTAGAAACTAATATTCCGACAGGGATGGGGTTCTCGGACATCCGACTATTTCTTTGTTTGGTACTGCTGTTTGTTACGGGGATCCATGGAGAGGAGGTAACTTAAATTGTATTAGAATCGACCATAAAGGTGTTGTTCATTCTCATGTGAAAAAACAAGCAAGTTAATTCAACGTTTTTCCTCTTTTCATATCAAATTCATACGTTATTTTCTCATAGAATTCACACAAGGATTCATTGCATATGTTCCTGAAAAAAACCGCGTTTTTGCTTGATAGATGCTTATGACTGATACAATAAATTGAATTGTCGTATTTCTGTTGTAGGACGAGAGACAGAATGGCAAAGAAGATCCTAGTGACAGAGCTGGTACTTTCTCCCACACTCAGATATATCATATATAATCTGCATTAACTACAGTGTTCATTCAAATTTTCTGGTTAATTCAGGGGTCGAACGGTCAGTTTGTCGGAACAGAACTATTTTGGTGAATTATTTTGCCCAGATTAATTTTGCAGTGTCTGCCTAAAGTACCCTGGGTTTTCTATTAAAATTGCAGACCAGTTTGTTCATGGGTTATATTTGATCAGAAATGTTTGATTGCAAACGCTTTTTTCAAAAACGAACATGACATAAGTTTTAACAAGGGGACAAAGAAGAGATCGATATTTCATATATGTGTATATGATAGTTTAAGGAATACCACCGACCTTTTTTAAAACTTACAATAACATGTAACACATCAGGAAAAATCCAAAACAATATAGTTCTTCGTCAAGTTTGTGAATTGGCAGCTACATACAAACAATAGTTCCGACCCCATTTTCTTGCTGGTTCCTATGGTTTGATTATATGGAACAATCGAGGCAATATCATTGCTCTGTATTTGGTCTGGGACAACACTGAAATCTCAAAGACGGAAATTGTACCAAATCTGTTATCAAATACGCAAAACTATATCTGTTTTTTAATATTGTATTTCAGAGACCGATAATATTATATGTAAGGAAACCTAGATAAATATACCTCTCAGAACTGTGGTTCCTAGATCGCCTTGAACTTTTATCAGCCCGAGTGACTATCGAGTGTCAATATGCCTAGATGATTTACCATCACATACATTTGTCACTAGAACACGGATTTACTGATAAGAAAACAACCTTAACGCACTGATTTGAACCAAGTGTCTTTCCTCTGGAAATGTATTTAAAATGGAAGGTATGACGATGGGAGGATTATGTTTGTAAATTTCTTACTATGTTAAATATTCCAGCTATATATTCTATATCGTGATAATTTCTAAAAAATTCCTACTCGTGTCTCATCGATTATATGTTGTTTACATACACTTCTTGTACATAAACTTGCCAATCAAAGCCCTTATCAATGATGTGTCGCATAGCACTAGTGTAGTTGGTAACTAATGACTCGGTCAGATGTATCAGTTGCATATAATATAGCGAAAGTATCGAAGAAATGCAACATACTACTAGTATATTTGTCTTTTAATGCCTCTAGCATGCAATATACATGTAATGTACATGCCATATGCACGTGATTACAACATGTTATTTGGTAAGATCCTTCTTCGATCAATAATCAGTATGTTTTATATCGTAGGAGGCATGCTTACTGAATCTGTTTATCTGTAATATCGTCAAGGTGTAAATATGACGTCATCCAATTTTATTTATTGCGCCGATACAATAACAGTAATGTCTAGGCGTAATTATGGAAAACCCGTCATAGAACAATAAAGATGATAGTTTTATACAGTGTTTGTGGTCTGTTAACTACATTGTATCTTACCATGTTTTTAAAAAACTTTTTCATGAATTTCATTTTATATTTACTGGTAACTCTGTCGAACGTTATTTGAACGTAGCTTTTTATTCTTCGTTTTTAATAACACATAGCTTTACATTACAGTTTGTAACTAATAAGAAAATTAATGTATCATTGAATGATGTTGGAAAAGTATAATTTAATTTTAGAACGGACAGCTTTGCTTATCCTTTTGTGTTATTCATTTTCTGTACAGGTGAGTAACTGTGAACAGAAGTCTTGTAGTAATACAGTCGATCTGGGTTTTTTTTACCGACAGCATACACCACCACGCGCGGATATGCCGGAACCACAAGTAGAGACCGACTGGGCGTTATCATGAGCCCTGCTTACCCTGGCAACTATCCAAACAACTACCGCTTCCGGTATGATATCTATCTAGGCACAGAGAAGAGTGATTTGGAAATAAACTTCAAGATATTTGATTTGGAGTCCTGCAGCAATTGCAATTGTGACTACCTTATGATAGAAAACTACAAACTAGCCAAACCGTTGAAGTATTGTGGAGCCGCCCTTCCTAATGGTGACGGACGGGTGTACCGTAAGTAAGACCTTAAGGACTGACGACGTTCTTTAATATTTATATAAGTCGGTAGCACCATGGTGATTACGCAAAGATCCAAACAATTAATTCTAGCACATTAATAAAGATAGATAATGTATCACCACATTACCTATATGGGGCACAAAAAGTAAAATTAATACCTACACATTGCTTTGTCGAATGCATTTATTTTGGGACACATTCGTTTTTTCTTCCATGTATCTTGACATGTTTTGTTTTCTTTACGCGCTTTTTCGTGCATATGTAAACCTGAAATATATAAAGTTCAATAACGCTGTTGTTACAACAATATATTTCAGATATTGTCATTCCGTCATATACATTTGCTTTTCATCAGAAACCAGTTGTATCAATTAATCGTTGCTATTGATATATTAAAGTAAATAATAACATTTTGTAATGGATCCTTGAAAGGAAAAGTATAATGGCAATCTACACAATTTCTCTGAAAAGTTTATTTTGAAAATTTCACGTGAGATTTTTATCTAATAAATAAAGACTGTTGTATGTCGCCAATCATTAATCGCCAATCTTAATCAAATTCAGTATGAGCCGATCAGGTTGTAAAAATAACAACGCCATCATCATCGAAAAGTATCATATTGTTTGTGTGTAAGAAATCCGGTCTTAAGTCCATATAAAAGAACAACATTACGCAAGATACATGCATATGTCAGGAGAAGAGTTGAAGGTGTGTATTTTTCATTTTCGTTGAGTCTACAAACTCGGGTTCGTACTGGAAATCCCGTGATCATCATGAGAAGCCAAATTGACCTATATCGTATATATACTGTACTAAACGATATTATTACATCGCAGAATATAGGACAACTTGGTAAAAAATGCATTTACCAAATACGATATTCACATGCATGCATATCCTTTTAATTCCTTGTGAAGAGGTTGTAAATAACAAAATGTCATCACAACAATCGACTCAAATAATGGAAATTGCGCATTGAAGTGCTCATATGGTGATAACGTCATTTGTATTAACTCGTCATTTGGTTAAAACAGGGACCCCCCCCCCCACACACACACACACACACACATAATAAATAAAAAAAATCTTGTTTATATAAATATTCGATAACTCTAAATAATGGAACCATAATATAAGATTGTGTGTAATGCTTTGAACAAGACACATATGTTTGTGTATCTAGTCATCGTAGGAGGTCTATCTATATATCCATTTAAGAATTTTCATATGTCATGTTTGAAGGTGCAACTTTGCTTTATTATGTTGTCATTTGATGATTAAGAAATAAAAATGAAAAATGCTCCACGTGGCAAGAGATAGTTACGGTTTAAATCGGTGTAGCAGAACTAAACTTCTGGGTCGATCGGGCGACCAGATAGCTCAATTGGTAGAGCGTCCGTCAGGAGTTCGAACCCCGGTCTGGCCGTGCAGATTCCCTCTCCTGTTAAATTGGCATATATAATTTAATCAGCTAACGTCCTATTTAACATTATAAACCGTAATATACCGTAACACATGCAGTCATTATTATACGAATTAAACTATGGTCCATACTACATTACATAGGGATACATGAACATGTCTATTCCATTGAATTATATAATGTACCAGCAGCTTTCAATACAAAATTGAACCTCTGTGTGCGATACGATATCGTCTGAAATATTAATGATTACTCTTAAACTATTATCAGGTGGTAACCCTATTTCATTCCATGAATCAAAATGTATACAGTATAATTTTATTTAGCGTTCGCCTCTAGGTAGCACCTATTCCATATTACAATGTACATACATTTTCATTATTTCTCTGATAAATCTAACGTCCCAACTATTTGTAACTATTGTTCATGATTGTGATGCTAATTCATATATAATTTTATAACAAGTGTCCGTCTCTGTCCAATACATGTACCAAGGGCTCGCATTAACGATCGCCAAATCGCCAAATGGCGACACTTTTTCAGATTTAGCGACAAAAATTTCAGTTTGGCGATATTATGGTCCATCATTCAAAAACAACTTCACTTTTTTTGGTTGCCTAGGTAGTTATGATTAAAATAACGTTCGAGGGTATCCACAGTAAATAAATATCTACCATCTAAGAAGTAGAACTTCCATCCAATTTTTTTTAGTTTTTTTGTTTTCGATATAATTTCTTTATGGCTGATTTTAAACATAGACCATTAAATTTGAAATAAAGGTAATTATTATTTGAAAAAAATGCGTCGATACCTATATTTTGACTAACGCATTTTTTGCTGATTGCTGTCCTTCTATAATTGTACGTCATTTTGCGCTCATATGTTGAGCTGTTTGAATATGCTGAAATATGACTTGAGGTTGTCGTTAAAAGGTGGGAAATTGTTAAATTTGACATTCATATGTTGACTCTGATTTTAAGTTAGAAGACTATATTTTTGTAGTGGACAATTTGGACAACTACGTGTGGATAACATTCCAGTCTAATTCTGACCAGCGACGTCCGGGATTTTACGCAACGTATGAGATCACTCAGAGGGCAGGCAATGATTCGTTCCTGACCGGAGGGTCTGTCTGTCCTCCTGTGTCATGCCCGTACTGTGAAGTGGGACAGACCCCAGAATACGAGTAAGTGCTCGTTAGAAAATGATCTGTATATTTTGTCCTTATGTGTTGACGGTATGTTATACTTTTCCTATGTATGTTTTCGCTGAAGAATATTTTGTCCTTATGTGTTGACGGTATGTTATACTTTTCCTTTGTATGTTTTCGCTGAAGTATATTTTGTCTTTATGTGTTGACGGTATGTTATACTTTTCCTTTGTATGTTTTACGCTGAGGTATATTTTGTCTTTATGTGTTGACGGTATGTTATACTTTTTCCTTTGTATGTTTACGCTGAAGTATATTTTGTCTTTATGTGTTGACGGTATGTTATACTTTTCCTATGTATGTTTACGCTGAGGTATATTTTGTCCTTATGTGTTGACGGTATGTTATACTTTTTCCTATGTATGATTACGCTGAAGTTTATTTTGTCCTTATGTGTTGACGGTATGTTATATTTTTCCTATGTATGTTTACGCTGAGGTATATCTTGCCCTTATGTGTTGTCGGTATGTTATATATCATTTTACTTTTCAATATATCCACAGCTACACGAGCGTTTGTCCATACTGTTTCTGTAGCAAATACCAGCAAAACACTACCCCACGATACCAAATGAGTGAGTATACTTCATTTCCTGGTTATGTTGTATATATTTGATTTTCCCAATAGTAAATGGTGTACCCTTCCGTTTTGCATTTTTTTTTTTTATCTTTTGGTCATTTTCCCCCCAAGTTTATAACAATGCAAACATATCAAACATAAACATTATTACTCTCACACATTACCATTCATTCATTATACATTCAATGATAATAAATTGTAGATCTGGCCATGGTACCTCTCTATTCTTTCCAGGTATAATTTTCTTAGTAATTATGTTTATGTCAAATTAAACTACAGCTAAATTGTATCCGTTATATATAAGCATTGTTTAGAAGTGGCAGAAAAAAGGTTAGAGCAGGTCCTAGAGGTATAGAAGGAAAGGTAAGACTAGAGAGAGAGAGAGAAAAAATGGGGGGAGGGGGGAGGGGGGGGAACAAAGACGCTATATGTGTGTTGGAAAGGTCAAGGAGTTTTACATAGGTATTAAGAAGTACACGTGTATGTAAGATAATTCTAAAGACGTGTACATATTTTGACAAAGACAGGGTTTAACTAATATCAAGTAGTCTTCACATTATTTCCAATCAGTATTAAACAGCAATATATCTCTGAAAATAATATGTGTTCTTGATAAGGTTCTTAAGTGCAACTACCGACAATGACATTTGTAAATATCTCAATTTATAAATGTATTGCTTTATAATTAGAATTATGATATTATCTACCCTACTACTGATACTATTTTGATTAAATAAGCCGAAAATGAAGGTTTCCTTGATAAAACCAAATGGGACTAACAATGCATCAAGAAGGAACTTAAATGTTGTAGTTCAAGTCCAGACACAATTATATGAACTTCGTGATGATTGAATAATGGTATTTTGTCCGTGATGATTTTCTCTACAGTGAAGAATACATATAATTGATGTGTGGCGATTTAAATAACCGTTTTTGTCTCTGCTAAACTAAATAGGTAACGTTTACATAATTTTCGTTTAGCCAGCGTGTGTCCACCTGTCTTTTGTCCGGCATGTCCCTATGGCTTCCACAGGCAGTACGAGTGAGTGAACCATATTTCTATATTACGAGTTGGAATTTATATTTAAGCATCTTTTGTTATATAAATTTTCCATGACCATGAATATTGACGAACACATACACAAATACCTTTGATAATGATACATTGACTGATACAAGTATTGTTACCTTACAGTTACAGTAGCTATAAGTGTACGCATTGCTACTGCGTACACAACCAGCAAACAACGGTCAGTGGCACCTGGATGCAGGGGACAACCACTAGCTATATACCATGGAACCATCAATCAAACAGTTATCATCCTATGCGTACAACCAGTTATCGTCCTTGGCAGACAACCGGTTATTATCCTGGGCGTACAACCAGTTATCGTCCTTGGCAGACAACCGGTTATTATCCTAGGCGTACAACCAGTTATCGTCCTTGGCAGACAACCGGTTATCATCCTTGGCGCACAACCAGTTATCATCCTTGGCGCACAACTGGTTATCATCCTTTGCGCACAACCAGTTATCGTCCTTGGCAACCAACAAGTCGCCGTCCTTGGAACACAGAAACGACCAGCTATCGCCCTTGGCGACCCGCAAGCACAACAAGCTATTATCCGTGGTGGAGACAAAGTAGCACCATGCCAAACGTTCATTGGGAAACGACCACTGCTGGATATGGTAACACTACTTGTATCTTACCTCTTTCCTGCTTAATATATAGGTTGATTAAATCAGAATCATGAAATACGCATGTTTCTTTTAGATATGCAGATGCCAAATTCGCCAATGAAAAAATGTATAAAGTTCATTTTATATTAAGATTTTTTAACAATGTTTAAAACTGCAGAAAACTGTTACATCCCTGTTAACATTCATAAAACTCATACAGCACATCGTAATTCTTTAACTAATACAGCAAACGGTAATACTAAAACTAATACAGCACACGGTAATACTAAAACAAATACAGCACACGGCAATACTAAAACTAATACAGCTCACGGCAATACTAAAAATAATACAGCACACGGTAAAACTAAAACAAATACAGCACACGTTCCATTCTGTTTCGTATCGTATCTTTCTGTATTAGGTAATTTGGACAAAAATGTGGGGTTTTAAGGTTTTTTGTTCCTTTGATTCTTTTAAATTCATCTTTAATTGATAATAAGAGATTTTATAAAGGACATTATTGATTGATGTTTTCCTTAAGAAAATTGATAAATATATTAATATTTCAAAGAAACAAGTTTCATTTACAATAAATATAAATAACCATCCGTTAAAATTGATAAGTCATAAAAAGAATTTAAGACAATTTCATAAATTTGATAGGATAATAGAAGTCATTTTTAGCTGTGTTGTCTGCAAATGTTTTCATTTCAACCAAACGTGTATTCCATCACGTCTAGACAAAAGTCAATAGGTCCACCTCCAAGTATGAGCTCAAGAGTAAATTTAAAGATATGTTTTTAACTTATCATGAATAAACTAAAGGATGTGTAGGGGGTAAGTGAGATAGCTTTCAACGCATTTATATAATCACATATAAATAATTCTGCAACGAACAACATAATATGAATTAAAGGAGGAGTTGGGTGTAAGGGAGATGACTTTTGTTATATTTATAAAATCAGGGTTAATAAATCTGTAATGGACAACAACAAATTAAAATTGTATAATGATATACGTATCAAGTTGAAGACAGCACAGTCCAGGTGTTACGATGAAATCTTCAAGAAAGACTGACTGAGAAAGATCCTAAGATAAACCAATCATACATAATTAAATTTTGATTTTCATTTATTGTATTGCTCATGTAGGGTTTGAGAGAATATAAACATATACGAAAGATACATAAATATAAATCAAACATACAATAAAATATACCAAACATATATCAATATATACCAAACATACAATAACATATACCTAACATACAACAACATATACCTAACATACAATAACATATACCTAATATACAATAACATATAACAAACATACATGAATATATACCAAACATACAATAACATATACCAAACATACAATAACATATACCTAACATACATGAATATATACCAAACATACAATAACATATTCCGAACATATAATAACATATACCTAACATACAATAACATATACCAAACATACAATAACATATACCTAACATACATGAATATATACCAAACATACAATATCATATTCCTAACATATAATAACATATACCAAACATACAATAACATATACATAACATACAATAACATTTACCTAACATACAATAAAATATACCAAACATACATTAGCATATACCAAACATACAATAATATATACCTAACATACATTAGTATATACCTGACATACAATAGCATATACCTAACATACAATAACATATACCAAATATACCATAGCATATACCTAACACACAATAACAATAACCTAACAAACATTTGTATATACCTAACATACAATAGCATATACCTACCATACATTTGTATATACCTAACATACAATAGCATATACCTACCATACATTTGTATATACCTAACATACAATAACATTTACCAAATATACAATAGCATATACCAAACATACAATAACATATACCAAACATACAATAACATATACCTAACATACATTTATATATACCAAACATACAATAACATATATTTAACATACAATAACATTTACCAAATATACAATAGCATATACCAAACATACAATAACATATACTAAACATACATTTATATATACCTAACATACAATAACATATACCTAACATACATTTATATATACCTAACATACAATAACATATACCTACCATACATTAATATATACCAAACATACAATAACATATACCAAACATACAATAACATATACCTAACATACAATAACATATACCTAACATGCAATAACATATACCTAACATACAATATTATATACCTAACAACAGCAGAATTAGGAATTTTACCATCATTTCTTCGTTCAATATTTGACATGAATTGAATAATTGAGATGAAAGTGATTATGATTTATAATAAATTAATGCCACGTTATTAAGACCGTAAACATACCAGAAAAAAACGAAGTTAGAAATTGATAAAACGCAAAACCCCAGAAAGGAACAACAACAACCAACATTTCATGTATATTCCGTTGCAATTGGTGTAATGAAAACAATACACATGCAATATCATCAAATTTAATTGACTTAGTTTCCCAGGAGTTACATGTACCACTCTTATTTCATCTATACACTGCAATACACACACAGTTACTTTTCAGAATCAATTGTTTTGGTTGGCGTAAGACCTTTTGAGAGGGGGAATGTGTGTTATGCATCAAGTCTCGGTCAATATTAATCAAATATTTAACATTAACCTATAGCACATCAATAATCTTCCTGTGAATACCTTCTTCGTTATGATGTATATGATCTACAAACACGGGGTGTCAATACATCATGCATTAGAAATGAGTTTTACTGACCTACTCCTGTACCTATGACCTTCAATGCATATAAAACTTCACTGGAGAATAAAACTAGCACATGATAGTCACGTAATGACATGCAGATGTATTAAGGACACGTAGAGTTTATGTCGACTTACAATACATTACTGGTAAACTGTTTTACTGTAACAGATCTTCGTCAACATAACACACATAAACTTATTCAAAAGTATCTAAATAAGTCCTATTCATCTTCACACATCATTACACAGTTGCATTATCTAGGAGTTGTCATCTTGTTAAACAACAACTTTTTACATTTTGTCTGAATTAAGTCTCCCAGTGACAGACAATCTAAATGAAATCGATACTTTTCTTTATTTCATTTTTTTTTTAATGTATGTTTTTTATGAATGAAATTAAATACATCAAGCGATTTATAACACTGTACACCATGTGCTTTTCATGTTTAACAAGGTATTTCACTCACGATGTATTAACAGGGATATGCTCTCTACATTTAATACAGTGTATTTCAAAAATATCTTAATTGTCATCTGGGAGTGATAGTGCATTTGTACTGGCATCACGGTAGTACTTGCTCTCTTGTCAGTATGTCATGATTAAAATATATGCATGCAATGTCTGCTTTTCGTTCAAGTTTGACATTTATTGTAAAAAAAAAAGCATAGATCTGACCGTAGTAAGGGGTTTCCAATCGTTATTACTTCCTTCTAAGATAAATCCCGCCTTCATTGTGATTGTAATACAGATTATAGGAGGGTTAACAATGCCAACCAACATTGAACCATGATTAGTGGTATTTAAGTCGATATTAAGGAAACTTAAAGTTTGACAAGTGTGTATTACAGACCAAGGGTGTGGGAGAGGATACTTCTACAGTTCCACTGGAAATATCATGTCCCCGGGGGCACCTGGACACTCGTACTCCAACAATGGGAATTGTGAGTACAACATTGACGTGGGCGGAGTCTTGGGGACCGTCAAAACAGTGGCTCTTAGGTACGTTATACCCAACTAATGTCTTCTGATTGTTCATTAGTAGTTAACACGTTGTATCATGTGATGTGGCATAGACCATATACAATATAGTATATACCTACCAGTATAAAGGTCAATACCTTCATGAATATGTTTGCTTGTCATTATTTAGATTTTCAATACAGTAAGATATTTCAGAAAAGAAATTATTAAGGGCAACAGGATCAATATTGCGAAATACACACACCATTTTGTTTGAGAGAATAATCCAATTACATTTTCTCTGTAAACCTATAACAAACTGTATGAACAAACCCGTACGGCAGTCCGTTAACCCAATCCCCATTACATTATGTATTAAGACTTGCTCTACCTAATAGTGCTCTCCTGATCAACGTTACAGGTTTAGTTTCTTCGAAATGGAAAATTGCGGTGAATGTTCATGCGACTCTCTCACAATTAGCTCTGATGAGACCAGTGGCGTGCGCATGTGTGATGACCGTTTGGTCAACACGTCACATACCTATTACGGTAAGGTTGAGCATGAACACCTTTAATTTCAATTGTTACGCGTTAGCTCATACATATTTCGTATTGCAGAGTTATCTTCTCTTGTGAGCAGGTATTGATTATTACGTCATTGGTTTGTGTGAGAAAATTACGTCGTTTTCTCACAAATTGATGACGTTACTCTCACAAACAAATTACGTAACAATCAATACCTGCTCACAAGAGCAGATAAATCTGCAATACGCAAAGACGGAATACCTCATGTGATACATTGATCTTGCTGTACCAGAACATGACATACTTGTGTTTGGCAATAAACCATGAAAGGTACTAGTTATAACATGTAAACTGTTTTAGTTGTAACAGTTCTTACAAAGTTGATGGTCCTGCAGTTGAAATAAGGATGTTATTGTTGTTATAACAATTTTTTTACGATCCATATGAAAATCCTATTGTTGATTAAAAGAAATGATTTTGGTAACAGTTCCTTAGGAGTTGTTATTGTTGTTATGGTATATACATACAAGAACAATTGTTAATTCCAGTGCATACAACAAGTGATATTTTGAAACTGCATTTCATCTCTGATTCGTCGGTTGCTCGGTCTGGATTTTCCGTGAACTACGAGGTGATGCGGTACGATGTCAATAACACATGTAGTGCCGATTCCTGCTACACCTGCAATCATTCCGTCCGTCATGACTATTTCGGCTGCTGTATTTGTGTAGACGAATCCTCTACAAACAGCACGTCAGGCTACTACATGGCCTCCACCACTAATGGATGTAAGTGTAAAGCAAAACGTCACAAGCTATGTCTCATTATTAATGAACCATGACAGAACCATGTCAAACAAGCGAGATAGTAAATACCAAAACGAGAAAGTAAATACCAAAACGTCAACATAAAATAGCACATAACAAGCAAGAAATGAAAACTGAATACAAAATACTGAATACTTGATATGAGATAACGTACAATTACACTTAACAATCTAGAAAATATAAACTTCACAATGAAGATAAGGTTTCTATACGCTGATATGAAACAAAAAGAAAACACAGTTAAAAGAAGATTGTCCTATTTCATATATAGCAAATTTAAGATTACACTCACCATTTACTTGTAATACACTTATATAAAACAAAATGGTGGACAATGGCGAGATTAGAGAGATAATTTTGAAAATAAACGTACGATATTTTGTTACCAACACACCAAGTTATGATTTTTTACCTGGTTTTGACAATATTTGGCCCCAAAATCTATCCAAATTCGAAACTGTTCACTTATTGCTTGACCCATTTGAAGACGAGTCTTTGACTCAATATGTCATCAAGTTTAAATAAAGACTATTATTATTATTGTAAAAAAAATCACGATGATGTACATTTGTTTCTAAATGCGCTTTCAACAATTGTTTCTAAGGTAACGGATTGAAATTTGAATTGAGAAGAAAATTTGAAATTTGAATTAAGAAGAAAATTTGAAATTTGAATTAAGAAGAAAATTTGAAATTTGAATTTAGAAGAAGAAAATTTGAAAATTGATTTATTTTTACGTGGTGCATTGTTTCTCCGAGATTATGAACAAATGTCATGTCAATGGAGAATGCGTTGGCACTGACAATACATCTTTACAAACAGTTTGTTCAAGATTGTGATCTATGGCTTGTAAAAGGTCAAAACCATTCATAGTGATTTGTAATGAAATATATATATATATTTCTATCCAATCAAAATAACTATACTAATGAGATTGAAAAAAGTATTTGGTACAAGCTACTACAACTTAGCATTGCCTTCTCCCGTCAGACATATACATGATAACTATGCAGTAAAATGATGTAATATGATAAATTGATCTTTTACAGATTACTCCAAAAGTCTGCTGCTTCAGATGCTGACCGATATAGCACATCGCGCACAGATGCTAGAACAGAACGCCAATTACCTGGAGCACGAGGCGAACTATGCAAAGAACCTTGTCGCCCAAAGTCTCGGCTGATTGCTGACATTTGTTGCCGCCATCTCATTGAATGTTTCTATTGTAAATATTGTCGAAACGTGTTTTTTCTATATTGTTACAAGGTCTGTTTTGCTTCTCTGAATGCATTACTTATGAATAGTGTATTGTGGCTACACTTTTAATTAAACAATGGTTCTATCCCCCCTCCCACCAAAAAGAAAATTGCTTTCCCCTTAAATGCTAAAAGTCTTTAAATATCCTATAGTACCGCGTGAGAGATGTTCTACTCTTGGTGAAAGAATTGTTGGATGTACACAATGATATGAAATAGACCATCCCCCCTACTACACGAAGTGATTACAAGGAACAAACGTTTGCATCAATACTGCTCAATAGACATCGTTTAATAATGTTTGACGGAAGAATTGAATTATTGCCTATTTGTGGCATTAACATCCTCTACTTTACCATAACACAGCTTATTATCAATATAACAAATGTGTTTTTTCTCTTGCATAATTTGTGTTTATATATCCAATATTTCAAACGTACATATTTAATCATTGAACCAATCACATTATTTTCTTGTCGTCTTCGAATGTAATTCGAAAGCAGCTCAATTACATTTTGTTTTGCACTAAGAACCAATCGTTTGTTGTTAATAATACCAGTGAGTCACATAGTATTTTCATTGGCCATCCATCCTTTATAATTATTACCGGTCAATAATTCTCTTGCATTTTCAAGAAAATAGTCATTCAATGTTACCTTTTTGACTTAATTTGTGTTGCGCACTTCACCTAAATTTCTTCATTTTTTCATGCAAATTATCGATTCAAATATTTTTAACTCGTATCTTGTGGAAAAGATTTGTCGCAAATAGAACTAGAAATGTCAGTGACATAGTTTCGCTCCTATGAATATAAATTGGAACAGATCCCACGAATTTTCATTATTTTCGCCATAGGTCAGTCGTATTTTAATTGACGAAAGGACTATATCATGAAATCAATTTATAATAGTTGCGATAGATGTTACATACGTTGTATTTATGTCAGTCCTCGATGTTGGCCGTAGAGCCTTTAAGCCGGAACCTATTCTGGCGCTGTTTTAATGTGACATACTAGTTTCGAAAGAAATGATCTGTTTTATCCAAACGTTGTAAATAAGTAACGTTATTAAGGTGTTTTATAGATGCGTTTTCTCTTTTGAAACATTGGATGAAGAGATGTTTGATAACTTGGTCAAGGTGACCAAAATACTCTTCTCCTTTGAACAGGAAATGAACAGGATTGCCTTCATAATAAAGCTATCGATGGCTTCATAATGAAAATAAAACTGTTAACATGTATACACTGTGTAGGACTGACACCGGATATAGCTAGAACCGACGTAAAGTCACGTAAAGTTTTTCGATATTTCTTCTATTTTCTGCTAGTGTAGAGACAAATAAAGAAGCATGACAGTCAATCATAATCGTAATTCATATCTGAAACAGGAGGCATGTACACGTTTTGGTGTAGTTGCAAATTATTAACAAAAACAGACTGTCTAGTATCGCTAAGTGTTCGTTCGCAATAACAAATATTGTCTTGACTTGACATTTGCCAGTAGATTATATACATTATATGCTACGATGATTACTTATAGTTATATAGTCATGACACTACATGGACACACTATATATTATGCTTCTTTCTTTAGATATTGACATAACTAATTTTCGTGAAGTGTACGGCGAATAGAAATAAATTATACGGCGAATAGCAATTTTCAAAATAACTGGTGTACGGCGGATAGTTCATATGGGATACGGTATTGAAGTGAACACTTTGCCTAAATCTGATATATTTTGTTAAAGCTAAACTGAAACTAGCGTTCCCCGATTACCGTAAATCTCCTACAGTGTAAAAAACATGCACCTTATCGTAGGTTTGTTGTATAACACCAAAGCTTACAAGAAACAACAATGCATTCAATACAGTTATACCTATTGTATATATACCTGGTAAAAAAAGAAAAGAGAAAAAAGGAAACATCTGCGCACATGGACAAATCAGAATTTAAAGAAGGCACAAAACACACCAACAGGCATACAGACAACAGTAGCATAGTCCATACTTCAACAACAAGTTAGACAAGAGGAATATCACATTTCTGCACCGAACATTTTATTTAACTCGAAAATATGAGATAAAAGACAAAAAAGAATCCTGAAATTTAACAGTGATGTAAAATATCTACAGATAATGCCTAAAAAACAACAATTTGTTGTAAAGAAGAATAGAGCCGTAGCTAGTAATATTTATAGAAATACATATCTCACCAATAAACGAGGAGCAAAAATGTACGTTTGCCGTATTCATTTTTATCAATAGCTGCTGCTCCCAAGTAAATCTGGTGATTTTGTGAAATATCTACTAAAAATATAATAAAAAATAATAAAATGTCTGTATATGTTATTTGTCGCCGGAACATTATTTGAAGCCAGCCTGTACGATTTAATCTAACTTATTTGGTCCCTGACTGGACAGATTGTACAGCAGTTGGTACAGAGTGACTACATGATTACTTTTGTAACATTTTTAATTCAATTCTATATCCTATACACATGCAGACAATCTATTTGTTGTTATATTTTTATAAAATAAATCACATGTTTCTTTTGGAACGAATATCTGATTTATGATAAAACTATAGCATTTTGTATAGTGGCTCGTCAGCAACAGCTGTGGACACAAGTGACTTGGTGAAAGACAATGATTTATTTATAACTTTTAATTGCAGTTCGATTTTCCAATAATGAGTTTTTCCTATCTTGATATTACCTTCCCTGGTTCTCCAACACTTTGGTGTGATAGAATGTGGCATCTGATTAGGAATTCAAGAGCTTACTAATGACTACCAGGATTGATATGGATTGCCGCCCGATAAACAAGCAACATTAGGTCTTGCGAGATTCAGATTGATGAAGACTCAAAGGGGAATATGTGCTCACTATTGTGATGCAACTGGGAAATATATTATTCCTTGTGGTGTATAAAGGTCGATTTATTTTAATTATTGTTCAATCTGATTTTGTTGCTGTTGTCACTACCGCCATCCTCACTTTAAGGATGTGAAGTAACTATATAAGTATATGGCGGGTGTCGTCGATGAAGTAAAAGACACTTACCCATCTGGAGCATCTGGTCTTATTCCATTTGTACTTTTCAAATTATCCCCAAGTATTTTCTTTTACATTAAGCCTTAGTTTTATCGATGTTGAGTTATAAACCGCTTAATCACAACCTAGTTTGTTGGTCGTCTTAAAACGGTTCACAAAATATTATCCTTGGTTATAGGGCCTTTGCAATCAGCCAATATCTTTCTCAACTCCCTGGGGAGTATACAGCCGGTACTGTCATTTCGGCGCTCACAGCTAGTATTCAACAATTCTAGAACTGCCCAACAAGTACAGCTGAGTATCTTGTCCAAAGATACAACAAAGTACCATGACCCACAACCCTTTGGTCACGAGCCCGGCGTCCTTCCCCTAGACTACCGTGCCTCCTATTATTATTCGTTATTCAATCTCTGCTATACTGTATATGTGTCACCGATACAATACTGATGAAATTATTGTAAATAATTAACCATTTAGTGATTATGTACAAAATAAGAACTTAAAGTTGACCACACTAAAATGAATCCATCCATCCATCCATCCATCAATCAATTAATAAAAAACACACACAATCTTGATGATAAACAAGGGATTGCCCTAGAACATATCGCTTATATAGGGAGCGTGGTGGCGCAACCTCATTGACATTTATTGTATGCTAGATACTGTATACGGTTGATCCTGACTGACATTAAATCAAATTTAAAAACGCTCTACAAGATTGTTAGTTCTACCATAGGACCAACTTAAGGTCACGTTACGCTCGTACGTAAATGTCGATGCTATTTTTGTAGCGCCGTCTTACAACAATGGTTTGATCCGTGTGACAACATCTGGAGCGATAATACGTATTGACCGTCCATTGTAATACGTAGATGTATGTCGAGACCCAGAGGTGCAAGTTAAAGAGTGTTGTATATAGATCAGGGTCTATCACTTATAAACACTTAGCTATGTGGATTCATAGCCAACACTAAACTCAAAAAACAAACTAGCAAATCATTTAGGGTAAATATTGCGAGCAGAGGGTACTAGCCATAAATTCAGTAAAAAAATGTTTTGTGTTTAACATGCAGTATGATAGATACGTTAAGGACGTTAATGTTTGGTGTACAGATAGTTTTTGAATCCACAGGGAAGTTCCTATATATATGTATCTATTATTGATGCAGTGTAATTAAAATGATAAAAAATCTAAGTATAAAAACATTTATCTCCTTTGTACATTATGAAAGTCAACCAATTTAGTGACATCAATCTACCAACTTCATTTCTATTCGAAAGTCAAGTACAGCGAGAACATCTTGAATGTGATCGTATTTCAAAGTTCTAAGGTCAAGGTCAACGTCAACGTCAGCAATTGAATAGATTTGTCAAACATTGACATTCTTTTTTGAATTAGATTGTTTACGAATGTCCACCAGATTATAAATTTTCTTGTAACAAATAACGTATAAACAGGTGAGCCTCGGGTGTCGTAAATAGTTATGAATCTATGAAAATGTGTAAAATATCACACCATATGCCCTTAAAACGTTAGGTAACGGTTAGACATATTTTAAAGTCAATTTTGTTGATAATTATGACATTGGAACTGATTTTGGCTTTTTTTCAAATTCATTTATATTATGCAAATACATACGAATAGCAGTTCAAACAATCCTAATTAAAACCTTTCAATTGAAAATCATCTGAGTGTATTAATTAGACAGTAAATTAACATATCAGTCACTTTTATCCTGATGTTAACAAACATATGGAGGATATTAAATGTTCACTAATATTTCACGAGCAGGGCAGATTACCCTTATCGATATATTCTGTCATACGAATGAAAATATATATAGTAAATAACGGGAAAACCATTACATTTCCTGTATATTAGATTGTGTAACGACTTTCAACGATGAAAAAGGTACCGCATCAAAACATTTGTGGAATTTTATAGCGTTATATTTTACGCCATAAACGTCAAGCTTGACAACAAGGCTGTGCGCTATTTTGAATGGGCTACTCAATCCAAATATAACCTTTTTACAATTGTCTGATGAGATTTAGTCACAAAATGTTATCAATTATGTAAGTATACAAAACCGTTGTGAGGGTACTAAAGGTTTACCAGACCAACCACTCGTTTCACTGTTAAATCAATTCCTTAATTTCTTCCTTTAATTTATATCTTTTTTTATTATTTGTGTTATATTTCATAAAATCCAGTTTTAATAACAACTTTAAAACGTCAGTTCAAAGTACAGCAGTCATTAGAACATTTCAAGTCAGTAAGGTACAATTATGATGCGTCACACTAAACAAAATGTTCTAAAGCCTAACCTTACACTCAATAGGTTTACTCCATTATACAGTTACTGTACAGCTGTTACTCCACGAGTACACGGCCATTGTGATGGTTCGATGTGAGATGGGGCCATGCATGGTGACAGAGGAGACCGGTGATAAACGAGACAGGAATGTAATAAATGGCATGTCTGGAATGCATGTGCAGCTCACCTCAAACATCATTCTATAATCAATATAACACCCATGATGCACTCTTCACAACATAAACACTCACGTGACAACAATCTCCTTTGATAACACTTAATATATTTTACTTAAAAAATACACGCGAAAATAGATTATCTGATGGAATTAATGTACTAATGTAAACGGACTCGTATTAATTGTACAAAGTTAACCTGACAATAACAATACTGACTTGTTCCGAGTTAACTTGACAATAACAGTACTGACTTGTAACAAGTGAGCCCTACAATAACAATACTGACTCGTAACAAGTTAACCCTACAATAAAAATACTGACTTGTAGCAAGTTAACCCCACAATAACAATACTGACTTGTAAGAAGTTAACCCTACAATAACAATACTGACTCGTAACAAGTTAACCCTACAATAACAGTACTGACTTATAATAGGTTAACCTTGCGATAACAATACTGACTTATCACAAGTTATCCTTGCAATAACAATGCTGACTGACACCAAGTTAACCTGACAATAACAATACTGACTTGTCCCGAGTTAAATTGACAATAACAGTACTGACTTGGAACAAGTTAACCCTACAATAACAGTACTGACTTATAATAGGTTAACCCTGCAATAACAATACTGACTTGTACCAAGTTAAATTGACAATAAAAATACTGACTTGTAACAAGTTAAACCTACAATAACAATACTGACTTGTGACAAGTTAACCCTACAATAACAATACTTACTTGTAACAAGTTAACCCTACAACAACAATACTGACTTATAATAGGTCAACCTTGCAATAACAATACTGACTTATCACAAGTTATCCTTGCAATAACAATGCTGACTGACACCAAGTTAACCTGACAATAACAATACTGACTTGTTCCGAGCTAACTTGACAATAACAGTACTGACTTGGAACAAGTTAACCCTACAATAACAAGGCTGACTTATAATAGGTTAACCTTGCGATAACAATACTGACTTATCACAAGTTATCCTTGCAATAACAATGCTGACTGACACCAAGTTAACCTGACAATAACAATACTGACTTTTACCGAGTTAACTTGACAATAACAATACTGTCTTGTACCGAGTTAACTTGACAAAAACAATACTGACTTGTACCGAGTTCACTTGACAAAAACAATACTGACTTGTACTGAGGTAACTTGACAATAACAATACTGACCTGTACCGAGTTAACTTGACAATAAGAATACTGACTTGTACCGAGTTAAGTTGACAATAACAGTACTGACTTGGAACAAGTTAACCCTACAATAACAAGGCTGACTTATAATAGGTTAACCTTGCGATAACAATACTGACTTATCACAAGTTATCCTTGCAATAACAATGCTGACTGACACCAAGTTAACCTGACAATAACAATACTGACTTGTCCCGAGTTAAATTGACAATAACAGTACTGACTTGTATCAAGTTAACCCTACAATAACAATCCTGACTTGTAACAAGTTAACCCTCCAATAACAATACTGACTTGTTCCGAGCTAACTTGACAATAACAGTACTGACTTGTATCAAGTTAACCCTACAATAACAATACTTACTTGTACCGAGTTAACTTGACAAAAACAATACTGACTTGTACCGAGTTAAATTGACAATAACAATACTGACTTGCACCGAGTTAACTTGACAATAACAATACTTACTTGTACCGAGTTAACTTGACAATAGCAATACTGACTTGTAACAAGTTAGCCCTACAATAACAATACTGACTTACAATAGGTTAACCTTGCAATAACAATACTAACTTATCACAAGTTAACCTTGCAATACCAATACTGACTAGTACCAAGTTAACCTGACAACAACAATACTGACTTGAACCGAGTTAACTTAACAATAACAATACTGACTTGTACCTAGTTAACTTGACAATAACAATACTTACTTGTACCGAGTTAACTTGACAATAGCAATACTGACTTGTAACAAGTTAACCCTACAACAACAATACTGACTTATAATAGGTTAACGTTGCAATAACAATACTGACTTATCACAAGTTATCCTTGCAATAACAATGCTGACTGACACCAAGTTAACCTGACAATAACAATACTGACTTGTAACAAGTTAAACCTACAATAACAATACTGACTTGTTCCGAGCTAACTTGACAATAACAGTACTGAGTTGTAACAAGTTAACCCTACAATGACAATACTGACTTATAATAGGTTAACGTTGCAATAACAATACTGACTTATAACAAGTTAACCTTGCAATAACAATACTAACTTATCACAAGTTAACCTTGCAATAACAATACTGACTTATCACAAGTTAACCTTGCAATAACAATACTGACTTATAACAAGTTAACCTTGCAATAACAATACTAACTTATCACAAGTTAACCTTGCAATAACAATACTAACTTATCACAAGTTAACCTTGCAATAACAATACTAACTTATCACAAGTTAACCTTGCAATACCAATACTGACTAGTACCAAGTTAACCTGACAACAACAATACTGACTTGAACCGAGTTAACTTAACAATAACAATACTGAATTGTACCGAGTTAACTTGACAATAGCAATACTGACTTGTAACAAGTTAGCCCTACAATAACAATACTGACTCGTAACAAGTTAACCCTACAATAACGATACTGACTTATAATAGGTTAACCCTGCAATAACAATACTGACTTATAATAGGTCAACCTTGCAATAACAATACTGACTAGTGCCAAGTTAACCTGACAATAACAATACTGACCTGTACCGAGTTAACTTGACAATAAGAATACTGACTTGTACCGAGTTAAATTGACAATAACAATACTGACTTGCAACAAGTTAACCCTACAATAACAATACTGACTTGTAACAAATTAACCCTACTATAACAATACTGACTTGTACCGAGTTAACTTGACAATAACAATACTGACTTGTACCGAGTTAACTTGACTATAACATATACTGACTTGTACCGAGTTAACTTGACAAAAACAATACTGACTTGTACCGAGTTAACTTGACAATAACAATACTGACTTGTACCAGAAGTCATGTGTTTTAGATTAGGCCCTAGTATGACTCATTTGCATCATCAATTACGATTAACTTTATAATAATATATTAAATGTAAATGTCATAAATGTATATTATGCTTGGTTACATAATTGCCATATGTCTTTCTAGCACTAATTCATAACCATTTCCTATATACTTACATTACACCTGAGTATTTTATATTATACTTGAGAATTGGATGTCTAACTATCAATACGCCCCTCATTGTAAGCCCCCGAATGGCGAGGATCGATATTCAACCAGATTCATTTCATCCGTCCATATGTTCGAATAGCCTCGTGACTCATATATTTACATACCGGGCCTCAACACAACATCAGATTATTGAGTTTAGTCAGCGATGACGGGTCCCATACCTATTACCAAGTAAGTATGCGCACTATCACTGTTTAAGTGTATAAAGCTTTTTAAGATAATTATTTCAAACTTATTTGAAAGATTTACCTATGCCATGTGTTTTTGGTACTAAATGAAGATGTTTTCTTAAACAATTTAACTCAGGAGTGAGCGGTAAATATTGCGTCGTTTACTTCCTATCATTTCTATGTCATTGCGTGTCGTGTGTTAATATTTTTGTATTTGTTTCTCCATTGGTATGCTGTATAACTATTTAATGATTTAGTTTAAATACAAGTAAACAAAAGTATCAATACTTCTGAAGCAAAGACATGTTGACAATGGATTCGACGGATGTTGTTGTGGATCAGATAACAGTTTTTCTGTACGTGTCCGTTGCAATTTTGATGGTCCCATCTGTTTTATCAAAGACATTTTAGTAACTGCAACTCCACTTTCTTCAATATAACAAATTTGTTTTCGGTTCTATCAGAGGTGATTAAATTTATACTATGAACACATTTTTATTTCTCTTATGACATATCTTATTACAAATCACAATGATATTGATATATTTCTCTGAAAGAAAGTCTGTTATATCTTTGTAAGAATTCAAAAAATGAAATTTCCTGTTTCAGACAAAGATGAATAATGCTACTACAAACATAACAAGTAGTACGTACAACTCCGGTTCAAACCGACAGCGAAATACATATATGCTCATTGGTTTCTCATTCATTAGCCTGCTTATGATAGGAATATTCCTGGCTTTTGTACACCGGAAGTGCAGAAAATCGTCGTCAAGTGCAAAACAGTGGTGTTTATCTTGTTGTTCCCGTCAACCGGAAAATCGGTGTCCTTCTGTGTCGCGAACAGAGGAAGTAACTGGGACGGAACAGGCCACAGCGCAAGTCAAACCGGAACCGGAACATCTCTACGAGAATATTGCGTTTACAGATGACGATGGCAAAATAACAAAGGAAGTCATTGTCAAAGAAAAATGTGTCAATTTTAGATCAGAAATGCCACAATGCTCCGGATTTTGTGATACTGAGGATGATTCAGGAATATCTGATGTTTGTACAAGTCCGAGATGTTCCGAAAGTAATTCTTCGATAGATACCCGATATTTTGCTTATGATAAAAATAACGGATTACATGTGTACTATAATGACGGTTTTGATAACCATAACGAATCGAGAGGAATTATACGTGTGCTAATGCCGGAAAATCTGGACACTGGATATATCCAACAGAAGCGAAATAAAAATGCTCACGTCTATGAGAACATTAACAAGGATCAACACACATATGTGAATGTAGCAAATAAACGGAGCATGTCACCGGCAAGGTCGCAACAGAAGCAGCAGAAACAACAACATTATATGCAGCAACAACGACGTTTCCGTGAGAGTGATGCAGGAGAACATAGCATGCGCATAAGACACCCGGATGTTTATACAATACAGCCAAAGTACAATACGGATCCTAATTACGAGAATTTAAAACCAGAAAAAAGACTAGAGCATCTCCGATCAGACTCAGTATATTATGTAAATGACCATAGTACCGACAGGGCGTTAGAAGCTCTTGGAAACAGCTTTCGGCGTTCACAGCGGAAATGGCAGCAGAACAGTCTGTCACACGATGTGTCGTCACCAAGTAATACTTATATAGACATTAGTGGGAAAGAAAGCCCCCCGTCTAAAGCACGTCATATGCGTGGCTTCTACAGAAACTCACCGGGTAGAAGGTATACCGGCCCCCGTAGACTTTACAATAACTCTTCGTCTGAGAGCAGCCCTCTCCCGACCAGTCAGGTACGAGAAAGGGAAAAACGTCTTGTGACGCAATATGTTAAGGCTGCCGATGGTACATTACGTGCCATAACGTTACATATGTGAGCACATGGAATATTACCATGTGACATCGAAGGAATTATGAATGTAACTTGTGATCCTATTACCTTCATCTTTGGCTAGGGGAAGCTCTGTGTGTAAATCAAACTTCAATGAGTGCCTTATAAACGTAAATATACTTTAAATAAACGCAATATCGACGTCATATTACGTTGAATAGTGTCAATAATGTCATTAGTTATGTCCTACAATGACACATCACTGAAGGATAATCGACGAAGTGTTGTCTATATGGTCATATATATTTCAGTATTATTAGAAAGAAACATATCATCTTAATCTTACCTGTATTGTGTATATTAAAAACCATAATGATGAATAATTTTACATTGTGTTTTTGACCTGAAACAAATATTGGTTCCACACTCCGAAGACATTGGATGACCAGGCAAGGTACAGGTCATATCAAATTAATTGGGAGCGCTTTAAATTGGTTATATATCGTTATAGAAGTTAGATCGTACAAAATATGCAAGTCCACAATGTTTTGTAACGTCGTACTAAATTTAGTTACTAATATGACTTCATGATTCTCTGTTGATTTTTTTAAAACTGTTGGACAATGGAGTCGTGTGCGGGAAACTTAACATAGTGTGTAATTGTTATGAGACGTAATCTCCTCCAACTTGTGTCCATTGGTGATCACTTCATCTAACTCTGGTTAGGTAATTTTCAGATTTCATAATACACACGAAAATACTTAGACCAAACTACAACTGTATGTTATAGAAATCGTCGGCTGTCAAAACCACTGACGTCATTATGTCCTATAACAAACGAGTTTTCGCCATATGTACATAAACATCAACAAGGTTATTGACTTTCTGATTTGAGAAACAATAGTCGGTGTTTTGACATCTGTTTTATGATTTATCTGTGTAATGAAGCATGCATTTGAGGGAAAAGCCACTCCTAAATACAGGACGGGGATTTTTAAAATGTTTCCAGATGTCATCGTGAACGCGATATCTCAGAACTATCTTAGTATCAACATATCATCTGTCAAAGTGTTTTGTCAAAAGATTACACACACCAATAGTTTTCCACGTCAGATCAAAAGCGTGTGTCAGTTTAGTAATAATAAAGGACGGAAAAACAAATGTGTCCAGTGTAAAATATTAACAACTCCCTCATTAAGGAAAAGTCAATATTATATATTATAGTAGATAGGAAACTGATATTCGGACAATAAAACGTAAATACAGTTATCCTGATTGCAAAACAACCTATTAATACAGCATGCTATCTAAAAACAAATTATAATAGACCGACATATATTATAAACTTCCAAATGAATTGGAAAACGGCGGAAACTTTTCGATATCTCATGAATTCTAAATTTGCTGACAATATTCCAGATTTCCTTATACTTAATGCTATGATTACCTATCGTATGTTCCTGACATAATATTTGTTCACTATTCATATATCATTATACATGTATATTGATATGACCAAAGGGCAGCACGCAACTTCTGTCCATCAGCCATTAGTATATCAGTCATAAAATTTGTGTCGCAGTATGGATTCAGTGATATATTTCGAATGCTGACAGATGCAGGTCTCTTGTTAGTGACGTTAATTTGCTTGACTTTTACCTAGATGTAATTAGTCGGTGTCGATGAAATAGAAGCCGCTTAACTCTGAAGGGAACATCTGGTCTTATTTTTCCTTTTTCAAATGGTTCTTTGTTAAACTTTCCTTCGATAATATCGTTTTCCTAGTTCTATTGATTTTGAGCTAGAATTTCGGTTTTGTTTACTCTCCAGTACACGTATTCTTTTTCTGATTTCCTTCAGGTCTACTTAAATTTGAAAATAAAACACATTCTATGGCCAGTTGATAACTGTAGGGATAAAAGTCAACTATATGAGACATTTTCAAATGTATATTACATTACAATGTATCTGCAAGTGTATATAACATTAATTATTTTCCATTCTTAAAATAAGACTCTAAAAACAAATACTAGAAAATAAGTACTTGATACATTGGCTGCACTTATATATTTTAGCTCCAGCTACATGGGCTATAGTTTGCTCTACGTGAACATCTTTCACTTTGACAATTGTGTGCGAGATATGTTCTACTGGTGCGTTGTTTATGCATGTCCATATATTCCGTCTTTTCGTATTGCTGAGTTATCTGCCCTTGTGAGCAGGCATTGATTGTTACGTCATTTGTGTGTGAGAGTAACGTCATAATTTTTTGAGAAAACGACGTAATTTTCTCGCACAAACCATTGACGTAACAATCAATACCTGCTCACAAGAGCAGATAACTCTGCAATACGAAAAGACGGAATGGCGAAACGCTAATGTATGCGTTATTTTCCTGTCCCTTTACACCCTTACATTGGTTTGTGTTTGTTGGACTTAATGGTGTACACCATTCTTAGTTCAGTAGATTGTCGTATACATGTATATAGCTATGGTCTGGTTTTAACAATGAAATGGTATTCACTGGTCACATTTTTGTAAAAACCTTTTCCATCATAAATTATTTGTAAATATCGAAAAGATGCGGGCATCTTCATAGTTTATGTTATTTGTATACAGTCAGTTATTTAAGTTTTATGTTCTGTTAAGTATGTGTGTTGTCAATTGGTTGAATTAATAGTCAATGCTGTATAAACGTTGTCACTTGATTAAGTTATTTTTGTATGTACGGTGTCATTTATTTCATTTAGTACATGTATTTATGTTGCATTATGTTGTCCCTTGGTGATATTGTAATGATGTACATTGTATGTACGTTGTCGCTCTATAACATCAAGGGAAACAAGTCAGAGATATAAGTTCACGAATAGATTATGAATAAATAATTCATTTGAATATATCAGTCGTTTAGTTTGTTTATAAAGCACCAAACACGGAAGTGATGGTCAACAGATAAAGATAGCCGATACATACCCCGGTTTACAGTCGTCAGGAAGGTTGTTATATGCCCCATACGGTTAATGGGTACAGCGGGTACGACAAATTGCCAACATTAACAAAATAGATCTTGATTTTTTTTTCTATAAATAGAACAGACTCTGAAGTAATGCATCATTGTAAACTCCAAACAAGGGAGGTTTGGATGTTACTGCTTAGAAAATGAAAGTTAACGTCACTCTTGCATATTGACATTTTCCTTTGGGGTACTAGTATTTTGTTTCTATTCCTCCTGTACAGCATCATGTTAACGTAGACCTTATAATGAACGTGTCCCTATAATAACAGGGACTGCTATTTGTGAAGTGTATAGGTCCAGGACATTGTTACCTGTACTAACTGTCAGGCTGCCTTTTCACGCCACCCGTCTGGGTACTTCTAAAATCGTTACGAATAAGGTAACCTGGAAAAAATAGGTATTAAATGGTGGTGTGGAATGTATACATCATAAGATATTCGAGGGGAAATGTTAAGTAAAACAATATTTACATGCTGTTATGAATTTGAACGTTGTTAATACTATATCATCTCTGATAAAAATGATGATTCAAACACATACATGTTTTCCCTCCAAAATAAGTCTATCTGGCAATGACAAATTTGTTACAGAGACACTACGAGGAAAGCTTTCATATAAACCCCTACCATATCTTACTATTTTTCTAGATATGTCAATATTAAATGGGGTTTCAAGAAAACAGCAAGAGTAAAATTTTACAAGCAGATGATCCCCCTTCTATCACCAGACGTCTCAGTATACCTGTTTGAATAAAGGGTTAGGACCAAGTACATTCACCAGCGTGAAACAGGATCAATGGGTATTTTAATACAGAAATAGAATAATAACAACACAACTATACACATTATCCGACTTCCGCGACATTCGTTTTGTCTAAGGGGTCCTACCTTTCACACAATTTTTATAGGACTGTCACTATGGTAAATCACTGAGGTTTTTAACATGAACTTTAGGAATTGGTATATCATCTTTATCCAAAACATCGCAACCTGTAAGATCTCAAGTCTGCTGCCAGATTGCTCAACCTATGGATAATGTCGATTCCCTGGGCTTGATACGAAGACCACTGCTTGCTTTATAATGATAAACAATAATAATCACTATTTGTGTTGGAAACATTTTATTTTTGCATACGCTTCACCTTCTGACGGGGTACATGTAATACTAGCCATCGAAAAGTCACACAAAAACTCTTCACTGGTTGAGCAATATAAACCTTATACAATCCATTTTATGAAATTGAAGGAAATAGTAAGAACAAAAACTCTATATAAACCACGTGGTGTCCGCCACGTTTAAACCACGCTGCAGTCGGCTACTCTGTATAGCGAACATTTCAAAAGGATATATTAAAACTATTCCTGTTGAAATTTTCGAAACTGACTTTGGGTTATAAAGGGTCATATTATGGTTGTTATGTATGACTAAATATAAATACTTATTAATCAGACAAAAAAACTTTACATATTGTTGTTGTTCAAAATTCTATCCATTTTTGCTGATGAGGTTTTAGCCATCCTGACTTTATCCCTTCCTTCAAGATAACTTAACCAAAACGGCGGTTTTACCTTGAATTATACACATAGAACATATTTTCATTAAGCTTTTTAGAATTAGTTTCTGTTGTTTTTAAATTCAACTTGCATAAATGATGATATATCATTCAATTTCAGCTCTAATTGCCTTCTTTGATTGTTTTCATTTTTTATATTGTGCGAAACCAACATTGGTCATTCATGATTAATCAAATACGTATATAATAATTCAATTATTAAAAACCACAGCACGGCACTGTGTTGTATCTTTAATTTGAGCAAGATCCTTCACTCCGCTTGCCCCAGTCAACTCAGCTGTAAATGAGTATGTGGTTAGGCAGCGCTAGAATTGTTGAATGCTAGCTGTTAGCGCTGAAATGGCAGCACCATCTGCATGCTCCCCAGGGAGTTGAGAAAGATATTGGCTGGTTGCAAAGGCCCTATAACCACGGATTATAATCTGTGAACCGCTTTAAGACGATCTACGTACTATAGGTTGTTACAAAGCTGTATATAAGAACCTCGAATTGTTATTATTGATATTAAATAAATTCAGTTATAAATTTATTTTGCTGTCAATATAAGTGAAAAAAAAAGAGAAGATTGTTAATTTAATAATGCTTTAAAACCATTTTGATCAAAGTTGGTCAAATCGGGGATTTTGAGTAAAAGCTATTATCCTAATCGATACCAAAAAGAATGAAAAAAACTTTCCCCAATGTTGATTCTTTGAGACTTTCTCACAATCTGTTGTGGAAACACTCTTGTGTGCGCCAACGACGTGAGCTTCATGAGAAGCACGCACGTGTCCGTAAGAAACTCCTGTCAAGCCCTGCAATGAAGTATCTACCACCTAGGAACTGCAGACACTTGCCAAATTTGGGAAATATCATGTGCAAAAAATGTATATAGTAATTGATGCTGTACGAGAGCAATATTACAAAGTGAATTAATTGTCTAACAGTCTAGAAATTTTAGTGTTGATACCATAGATCACATGCGGGTAGGATTAGTAGGGTCCCAGGCTCCAGAGAGGCTGGCTTTGCTGGATACTCTCCAAGCTTGGAATTGTATTTGGAAACAACGTATTTTCTCCTCAGTTTTACCAAATCGCTGTTACTAACAGTATCAACATACTCAACGTTTGACTTACAGCGTCACTACTACATCTACTAGCGAACACAGTGATGAACTGACAAGTCAAGTCAAGTCGAGTAAATTGTATTTAAAAGTCGGTACATGGTTAAACAAGGCAACACACGTCTATGGAAGGCTTTTACAACCAACTATATAACAAATAGAAACAGAGCTAGCATTATATAAAACATAACAAGCATGCAAATCTATGACATTGTTAAACAGAAAAAATGTTAAGCGTATAAAAGATAGGTAGTGTGTGATTCCAGAATGAAAAATTTCATAATAAATTTAAGCACATACATTACGGTTAAAATTATTTAAACAAACAGTCAAAACAAGGTGGCTAGTACAGTGCCCCCAGATCCTTAGCTTTCCAAAGGTTGAGGGGAATTCTACCAGCGATGTCCCGCAGAGGTTCCATCCACCACTGCCCATAAAACATTCTGGAAAAACACACTTAGACTATCACATATTGCATTCAATAAATTTACAACACATAAATAAATACTACATTAAAAGCACATATTGGCCTGCCACTGCCAGCATAGAATACAAACAAACCAAACCTGAATTGAAATTAAAAGAAATAAAACAACGTTTTATAAGTAGCACATATAATTTACATAAAATAAATAGCAAACAACACAAACAGCACATGATAAATTATATACACGTAAAAATCCAGCAAGCATAAGGACTAACTAAAAGCTTTGACGCAGAATGGATAAAACGGGATACGACAAAGGGAGTGAACTCGTCTGCACATCGCACAGTGGCAACTTTCACCAATCTAAGTTTTTATCATTTTCCTAAAGTCATTAAAAGATGTAGATAATCTGACCTGCTCTGGCAGGGAGTTCCATGACGAGGCAGCTAAAAAAACTTAGACTATTTGTTCCATACTCAACAGTTGTGCTTCTAGGAACTTCTAAATTTGTACTGTACAAATGTACCTGAAATTATAAGATGAAGAATCTTCAAGAATATAATCCTGTAAATAACAGAAGCTTCGTCCATTTAAAACTTTAAAGGTTTTTGTATAGCTACTTGTCTGAGTCTACTTAATTGTAAAGTGTTACCTTTCAAGTTTCTGGGTGTTTGCTTTGGAGCAAAAATGCCATATGAGTGGACAAAAATTAAAACTTGACAATATCAAAGCATGATAGACAGCTTTGCGACAATGTACATTTTCATCTGTCACTCCGGCTTTGCTCGATATAAATGGACGAATATAGTGGGCCAAGAGTCACGCCGCTCAAAATATAATTTGATGGCCTGTCTTTTTTATAATTTTGTTACGTAATTTCTTTCTCTACTGTACAGGTTCCAGTTTTTGTCTGATTTACAAAGATTAAAGTACGAAATAAACTGTGCTTGTGACTTACGCTTTCCGGAGTGAACCATTCATAAAAGATCTCGGGTTTTCTTTTGATATATTTTTGTTTGTTTGGAATATGCCGATCAATGATTTCAGCAAAAAGCCCAATAAACATAGTTTGGGTAATCAAAAATGTGGGCAACATGAAATCAGAGACGTAATATATACGGGACCATGCATGGTCAAGATCGGCACACAATTGATCAACATCAAGTCACGGAATTCGATTAGCTATTTAGGTTGGGCTAATTAAAACCCCACTATATCCAGTGGTCAATGTTATACTGCAAGTATATTTAAACTCAACACGTAGGCTAGGCCTATAGACTTATAGAATCCCTCATCAGTCTTACATTAATATACAGTAGATAAATCAATAATAAACGCGAGTGTTATATATACCTGTAATTTTCAACAAGAGCATGGTATTATTAAAAGAACCAGTACGTCAATAAATAATCTGACAATAAAGAAACAGAATGACGTACAATTTACATATATCGATATCTTAATGTATATTCGGGAATTTTGGCGACGTTTCCGGAAATATTTTAGACATTTTGCATCTAAGTCTTTTAAACACTTGCAGCCTACATGAGAAAATATGGCACATTTCAAGCTTAATAGTGTTCCGAAAAGGCGGTTGTGTGAATCAGTTTCGCATTGTTGTGAAACAACGCACTTGAATATAACACGAACAACACACAATTGAATATGTGAATTGGCACACGGTGATTATTTTTTAGTAATGTGAACTTAGCCACGACTCATACACACCATACATCATTGTTTAATCACAGGGGTTCGTCACAAATGTCTAAAAATGTGCTGATATGGGTCACAGCACACAAAAGCATACATACACTTGCAGCTGTATGCTTATGTGTGATGTGACCCATATCAGTATACAGCAATGTTTATTTCAACAGTATACTTTGTGTTCTTCATTACGTAGAAGATAGAACAGAATGTACAAAGGCAGAATGTATGCCCTGTTGTTTGATCAGTTAATGTCCCAGGTTCATTATTTCGAAATCAGTGAATGAACTTACTATTTGAGTATCTCCTCTTTAGGAATTTGACGCCGGGCGTTCATATTTTATCATCCGAATTTAGACGACGCGATGGAATAACAATGCAACTGCTCAACTGAATGTGTCCTATAAGTATTCAATTTAGAGACTTATTCTAAATAAATAAGTTTGAAATAAATTGAAACATTCTAATTTCCAATTTACTGATCAGTTAGCGTATTTTTGTTCCCCAGTAGGCCTATAGTTTCTCAAATTTCATTAAAAAAAAGATATTTTTTCTTAAAAGTTTTCATAATTGAAATTCTGTACATATTATTTCAATACATTTTTAATATGCCTATGATATCATTTATTACGAATAAAATATGCTTTATCAGTACTGCGTCTTAAGCTTGTGACCATTATATGAAACATCAATGCATAGAAAAATGTGTTTATTAAGTTCAAATTCCATGTTACACAACTTTTATTATCTGATGATTTGCATTTATATACGAATGCTTTCATATTTATACACTGAATCTAGATCAGAAAAGTTACATGACATATATTACTGATTCTTAATATATTAATGCATCAGATCTATAAATAGAAATTGCTGATGTTTCTGATTTTGGAAATAAGTCACAATGATTGGATGGTAAATTATCTTGCCACATCTATTATTACACAGTTCGTGTATATAGGATATAAATTATATACACACATTATATATACATGTACTTCTTTGCTTATATGAATGTATACATTATTTGTAAATCACATGTGAAGGTATCTGACCAATAGCTTGAGAGATATTTTACCTTTGGCAGTGCCATTCCTTATACCATGCATACACATTCATGCAAGTCATTATCCTGTAATTCTTATTATTTTTCAGAGTGCTGAATTAATCATTGTGTTGTGAGACTCAATGACCCTGAGTACAACTGTATTTAAGTTTTTATTTACACAACTTTGAAAGATGAGGCGAAATGAAAAGGGAATTTTGGGAGTGAAAAAGGATCCCAGGAATTTGATGCTATTTTCATTTCAAGTGAGGGAAGGTGAAGAATGGCCGTCTAGTGACTCCGGTGACTCTGACTATCAACCAAGTGATGATGGAACCCATAAACCAAACACAAAAATTGAACCAGAACGCAGTGTAAGGTAAGAAATCTTGTATCATCTGAAGGGAACTAATCATCGTTGTATTACTTCTTGTTGGAAAACAAACATAGTCCATGTAGTAACTGTAATTTTGTTTTCTTAGACCTGGGTGTCCAATTTTGCAATAAGAGTCTACATACACACCAGCCCACAGGCAGATTTGAAAAATTCTTAAGGACAACCTATATTTTATAGTACATTAAAATATTGAAATATTGAAAAGCTTTACTAGCAGGCCATCTGATGTTTTGGATACTGTATGTTATAATGTTAAGTTTGGTGCATGTACCATTATTTCTTTGAAATTACTACATTGATAAAAGATAAAATGAGCAAACAGAGTTAGGGAAACCTAAAGTAGAACAAGAGCGTGTTGCACCTTGGTTTGCTTGATACCCTAATTAGGCTGATGTAATAATAATAATAATTCAAGGTTCTTATATACCGCATTATCACAACCAAGTACGTAGGTCTTCTCAAAGCGGTTCACACATTATTATCCGTGGTTATAGGGCCTTTGCAACCAGCCAATATCTTTCTCAACTCCCTAGGGAGCATACAGCCGGAGCTGACATTTCGGCGCTAACAGCCACTATTCAAAAATTCTAGCACTGCCCAACCACATACACATTTACAGCTGAGTAGACTGGAACAAACAGATTTAAGTAACTTGCTCAAAGATACAACACAGTGCCGTGCCGTGACTCGAACACGCAACCCTTCGGTCACGTGTACAGCGTCCTACCACTAGACTACTGTGCCTCCTTATTACTTGTACATGTGTTTGTTTAAGAAAATAAAGGGAAAGAAACCTACATACAATGCACAGGCAACATAATCTTTCAATGATGGACACCTCTGGGATCTTGTTTTAATCTTACCTGATATACATAATGTATACTGAACAGTTGTATTAGTATTATACTGTACCTTCACTCTGTACCTCACAGGAAAAAATCAAAAGTGAAGAAAAGTGTGAAAAGGGCAAAATATAGTTCAACCAGGAGTCCCCCTGGTGCAGCCTCAAAGAATGATCTTGGTGTAAACTGCCCTAGCCTTCCATCAGAAATCTGGCTCAAAATATTCAAAGATGTTGTCAACGTTAGTGGCCCTTTGCCATTTCTGTGCAGGTAAGAATAGGCATACCTACAGTGTAAAATACTTTCTGAATGGCCATGTAAGCATATATCAATGTCTTTATTCACGAAAGTAATATGTGGCTGCAGTACATGCTAAAGGCAGATAACTAACAGTAGAATCAGTAGATTGTCATTGTATTTTGTTCACTAGTCTAGCTCTATAAATAAATATAGAGTCTGGAATAATAGATTAAATTTTTTGATGTACATTTTATTTGTCTATTTAAAAAAGATAATGATAGTTGAAGCTTTTAGAAAGATTGTAGTGATCATATTGAAGTTGTATGTGTTGATGGCATTCTGATATTTTCATTGTTGCAGGAGTAAGTATGTCCTGTGGTAGGACCTCTGAGTCCATGTGTCTACGTTGTAGAACAGCTCGTGTGTGTACCCTGTGGTATAACCTCTATATTCACCAGTCCCTGCCATGTTGTAAGGTATAAGGTGTGGAGCCTGTGATAGGATCATGGTTAACACCAGTCCCTGTCGTGTTGTAAGGTATAAGGTGTGTAGCCTGTAATAAAATCTCAGTTATCACTAGTCCCTGTGTCTGTGTGTTGTAGGGTAGTGTGTGTGTACCCATGTCTAATATGGTTAAGGGTTGTAAGTGTGTGTACCCTGTGGTAGGACCTCCATACTCGCTAGTGTCTGTGTGTTGTAGGGGAGTGTGTGTGTACCCATGTCTAATATGGTTAAGGACTCTAAGGGTGTGTACCCTGTGGTAGGACCTCCATACCCGCTAGTCCCTTTGTCTGTGTGTTGTAGGGTAGTGTGTGTGTACCCAGTCTAATATGGTTTAGGGCTGTAAGGGTGTGTACCCTGTGGTAGGACCCCCATACTCGCTAGTCCCTGTGTCTGTGTGTTGTAGGGTAGTGTGTGTGTACCCATGTCTAATATGGTTAAGGACTGTAAGGGTGTGTACCCTGTGGTAGGACCTCCATACCCGCTAGTCCCTGTGTCTGTGTGTTGTAGGGTAGTGTGTGTGTACCCATGCATGTCTAATATGGTTTAGGGCTGTAAGGGTGTGTACCCTGTGGTAGGACCTCCATACTCGCTAGTCCCTTTGTCTGTGTGTTGTAGGGTAGTGTGTGTGTACCTTGAGATAGCATCTCTGTATTCACCAATCACTGTATCTATATTGTAGGGAAACAAGGGTATGTACCTTATTGTAGGACATGTGTACTCACCAGTACAGTACTTGTTGTTGTATACATGTTGCAGGGCAGCAAGGGTGTGTTCCCTGTTTCATGACCTCTGTACACATCACTCCTTGTGGAGAAGTGTGGACCTATCGTTTGGCTGGATCAAGTCTACAGACAGAACACTAAATTGGCTTTGTGACAACAGACTTCAGCACACTAAGGAGATTAGCCTGTCTGGCTGGAAGACATTGACCTCACCAGCAGTTAAAGATCTGATGATCAAATGTTGTGATTTGACCAGTATTAATCTATCTTACTGCAACAAGGTCACCGCAGATGGCTGGATGTCTCTAGCCAACCACTGTAGCCGTCTGTCAGATTTAGATGTATCCTTCTCTAGTGTAAGTATGTCAGTTAGTGGAATTATTTCATTCAATCTTAGTTGTTTTTTAAGGCCTTTTTGTAAAACTGTAAAGAAAGGAAATACATGTATGAGAGAGAGAAAATATGAGAGAAAGACAAATAACAGACATAATATATATATGTATATACAAGAAAGATACATCACACATACATGTACACATAAATACATGCAATCATTAAAAACAATAATCAGGAATCTATACATTCTGCGAGTCCATGGCCTGGTCAAAATCTGTTTCTTTCGTATTGAACATTTCATGTTTATATTTATGATCAGATACAAGTGCCTGCTGTCAAGGCTCTTGTAGGGAAATGTGGCGACCACCTCAAACAGCTCAATGTCGGCGGAAACAATCTGACTGGATTTCAAAGTGTGCTGATAGCACTCAAGGTATGCTTTGATAAGGAGGGGGGAGGCAATGATCTGAAAGGTTTCAACAATATTATATCACTCATGGTTTGATAAATATTTTAAGGGGCTAGTGGAGGCAACAGTCTGATGGGCTTCAACAATATGGTGACAAATCAGATTGACAAATGCGTGAAAGTGAAGTGAAGTGAAAGAATTTGATAAAATTCAAAACTATTTTTATTAAGTAATATATCATTACAAATACATTTAATTTATTTAATGATCCTCATACATTGTATAGATATATATGTTGATGTAAGGTTTTTACTCTTCGAAACAGAGTTTCTTTATGTTAAATTCTGAAACAAATGAATTACACTATTATTTCAGTTTGTTTAAGGTGGTTTTTTATCAACTTGAAGGACCTTTTTTTTTTTTCCAGAAATGTCCAAATCTCCAGTTGTTAGATGTATCCAATGTACGGTTTTCCTCAGATTTTATGGCGTTTGATATAGAAAAATTTCAGCTTGCATGTCCAAAAATGAAAGTTCTTCGATTAGCAAACTCCAAATTCCGAGCTCCAGAAGTATCAAAGAGAGTACAGGTAACTAAATGTATTAACTATCTCCTCAGTCTCATCATTGTTGTCTGCGTCCAAATTTATTGATCAATACTGTTAATCAGGGGAGTTTTACCATTCTTTGGCCTTTTTGCCCTTGACCTATAGTATGAATTTAACATATGTGCCAACATTGGGATTGATGTAGTTTTAAAGTATAGATCAAGACTAGTTTAACTGTCAACCAGTTGGGCAGGGCAAAGCTATTGCTGATTACAGGGGCAAAGGTAATCCAAAATTACACTAATTTAGGTATAAGGTGTCATACAAAATATTGCTGACATTCTGGGGAATTTCATTTAATGCTGTCACAAAGAATAAGCCTACATGTTGATGAAATATAATATGCAGTACTGTACCATGTAATATCATTACTTTGTAGAATGAGTCCCCAGGCTTTCCAGACTTGGAGGAGTTGAGTCTGGCTGTACACACAGCCAAAGTGGGGGCGGGTCTTGCCATACACGACAATTTTTATCAAAGGTTTGTAAGCTGTTCCCATGTGGTTGCCTGCTGTAACCTAACATTATTTGCTCTCGATGTAACAGCCTCCATCTAAATCCACATTTTTTTTAAAGCTTTTCAGTGACAATTTTCACTCAAAAATTGTGACTTTGAAGCCATATATGTAACAATTAAACCATTGATTTTCATACCTCTAAAAAGCAATTTTCATTTTTGTCTCATAATACAGATGACATTTTACTATGAATCGGGTGCTGTCTGATAATTCAGTGTCAAAACAAAGTGTATATGAATCTAAAAGACATCAAAATCACACTGGCCTGAGGACATTACGTTAATTTATATTTACGATGGAGAGTAAATGTATGTTTATATTTATTAAGGAGAATAAATCACTATCTAATTTTGAATAACAATTCTTGGTCTATCAAACTCTTGTAAGTGTTGTAATTCTCATACTGCAGTCTTGATATATGCATTGTCAGAAATCTTAATGTCACTGGATAGATTTTTTAAGCTGAATTTTAAAATCATGTTATGAAATGTTGCTTTATAGAATCCTGAAGTCATCATATAGCCTAAAGCTGCTAGATCTGAGAGGTTTGAGTCAGATCACGACCTTGGGGCTGGCATCGCTCCCTGTCACTGACCTTGAATCACTCTACCTCTCAATGACCTCCCTTGCTTCACGCAATAACAATGTGGATGTCGTCCTGCACAAGGTAACGATGACAGCTTTTCAGTTATAACAATTTTTACAGATTCTTCACAATTTCATATATATGATAAGTTTTATTATGAATACCTTAACCCTTTTACCCCTAGGTAACTTGAGTAGACTCTACCATGCATTCATCTGGGCGAGTCCATGATGGTCTACAGTGGTGAAAGGGTTAAGGCAAGTAGATTTAACACAGTTTTGCTAAACACTATTGATCTATGCCTTTGTCAAATCATTCTCTGTATATCTAAATTTGAACGAATATGTATTGTAAAACAAATGTTTTATTTGTTGTTTCCATAACCTAAAGTGAGTGACACTCAAATTTATAATTGTGACATAATTTCATTTGTACTAGTGACACTGATGTGACATTGAAAAAGGATGAAAAAGCACAAGTCAGTTTACTCTCTAACTTAGAAATGAGTCTGGTTGTTTTCACACATGAATGCGCAAAGGATATACTGGTTTAGACACGGGCGTCAACAGATCCAACAAATAACAACACTGCGTTCTTATCATACTAGGCAAACAATTTAGGAATCATGTTTGGTAACAGCAAATTGATTGTGATTGGCAGATTGCAAAAAAACTATTAATTTAAGCATAGCTAAATACATAAATGTAAAACTGAGAAAGTCCCCACAAATATATGATTTTATGCTGAACTAGATACTTTTTAGCTTAAAAATATCATTCAATATATTTGCACGAGGACAATTATTATAAGCATATTATTATTGGCAGTGTCCAAAAAATGTTGGGGGACAATAAAAAAAAAACCTAGAAATAATCATCCAATTTACAATAAAAAAACCAAGAGAAAAAAAGGAGGATTATCATGATAATATGAGACAAGTAAATGCATTACAGACTGACATTCATGTTGTAGTGGCGCCACAGCCTCAAGGTAGTGGACCTGTCATGGAACACATTCCAGGAAAACGTGCTTGACGCTGCATTTGAGGTGTATGTTGGTCTACCCACAACCACACGACACAAACTGCGCTGGATTAACTTCGCTGGGACTGCTGTCACTTTGACCACAGTGAGGTAAGGGCTGTAACTGCAAATTTCTAGAATGATACAATAATTTCTCCACCATTAATAACAATGAGAAATTCAATATCCTGTCCTAAACCGCTATACAAAGGTTGTATATATATATAGGGTTCATTTCATTTCTACAATTTTTCCTGCATTTATTCTGTCGTACAGTTATATAATTCATGTCTGTTCTGAACTGTACCATTTAGGCGTAGATCCCTGACAAGCTTAAGTTCTGAATTAAATTTCGAACTGTTGGGTAGAATTTTCATTTCCCCCATACCTACGATATTCAGCCTCACCCTGTCACTTTGATAACACAGACTGCTGCTAGACAACTGTTCAGACTTGGAGTACATAAATCTGTCATCCTGTCGCGGACTTCCCAGAGGCATGAAGAGAGAATACAGTCAGGGCCAGATCAGTCAGCTTCGGAAGGAAGTTCAACTGGAGGAAGGATCCAACGGTGATGCAAGCACTGATTCTGATTAAATAGATTAATCTCAGAACTTCAAATGAGCTCATTATGAATCATTTCAGGAAAGTGTAAACATTTTGTTTCATGTCAAGGCAGCTAAAGAAGGAAACTTATTTTGTTAAAAATGTTTGCAGCAGCTATCATAAGAAAGTATCATGTGCTAATGTTCCTGCCTTATTTGATCAACTCACATGTGTGGACAGGAAGGTACAATCTGATATTGTCTGCCATAGTGAAAAAAACAAGGTTACTGGAAAACCTTGTAGCAGTGGTGATCATTGTTGTGAGGATACAACATGTGTTTGTTGGTTATCACGTTTATCTGACTCAAGTTAGTTAATTTGCAAATTGTATACAGACACGAGGTTACAGGGAAACAATTGCCATAACGTGTCGAAAAGCATTGTAATTTGTTACTTGACGTCATCATAAGGAGATTGATCAATGATTTACCAGGTATGTAGTAAACATTGACATGCAACACATGTTTTTCATTATGAGTTTTATACACTGATATGCGATACGTGTAAATCATTGTAACTGTTATGGTATATTTATTATATTTTTTGAAATTGTATTAAATGGATACAATCAAATGAAATGCAATCTGAAATAAATACCAGATGAAATACATATCAGTCTTGTGATATTTTGTGTGAAGTGAAATATGTTTTATGAATCTTTAGAGGTTTTCACCTTTTTTCTACTATTCATAGAACGCTCTGATTGGTTATTCTGCATGGAATATATTCTGCACGGAATTATGTACTCAGTAGTTAAATTTTGACCCAAAACATTGTTTCAATGACCTAAAAGTGTGTCATAACTTTTGATACAAGGACATAGAGCATGTATTTTTACACGTTACTATATTTATGTGACGTGTTTTAATTGTAACTATATATGCAGTGTACTTGCAGTGGTCTTATAGCTTCATGCTTTGAGGAATTTCCCATTACCTCAAATGGTAGAGCGGAGGACTTGGAAACGATGGGTTGCTGATTCGATCCCAGGAGAAACGTATCATGCATTTGAAAAATTGGATGCGAGCCACTCTCCCTATATTTATCTGATGAATGTTTATGAAATGATAACTGTTAGTTAGCTTGATCTCCACAGAGATATGTTATCAGACCACAGGGTGGACGCATTAAAAAGACAATAGAACCCCGAAGTGTTAACAATTACCATCTTTCGAACTGAAAATCGATAACACTAGGGCGAATTATGAACAAACGAAACATGGAGACAACCAGGGCTTGTATTCATGAAACCGCCCTCAAGCATGTATTTTATACTCATACCAACGTACTTGTAACTTACTTAAATCATGTGGCATGGTCAAATAGTCAATTGTTAACATTTAGAATAAAATTGGGCTTAAAGTCTCTTCAAAATTCTTCAAAATATGTTGACAAAATGTGTTGGTTTTTTTAATTAAGTAAACAAATTAACAAGAACTCGGACTTGAGGACACAAAGTTCAGTTTGAGAATGAGAAGGGTTTTCATAAGTACCGGCCCAGATGTTTCGGTAATGTAAGTAATTTCTGCTTCATCGACGGCACCTGTCATGTAAGTCCAGGTCAAATACAAGTAATTCCACATCCTCACACTGAGAATTCGGGTAATGACAAAGACAAAGCTTAATAGATATTTGGAGGAAAGATTATTTTTATTCTTCTTACATAATTGAACCGAAGCTTCTGTAAATATTATGCACGCCATGTGGAAGATAAAAGAAAATTGTGACATGATCTTGGTTGCATGATATCAATTTAATTCTTCAATCTGATTAAAATCATCTGTTACATGGCTCCGCCTGAACGATGTACAAAGCCATGTAACATATGATTTTAATCAGATTGTTTAATTCTTATGAGCATTAATAATTTCTCCACATTTAGATGAGGAAGCTAAAGGATAGCCAGTCATGTTAACATTTATCTATTAACAAATTGCAGTGAACATTTATTTGTTCAGTTTTGCACACTGAAGGATATCTTTATTATCATAACAAAACAAATCGTCAGGAAATCTAACTTTGTGGAAAATCTTAAAATAAGAATACCAGAGTATCAACAAAACTGTTATTTGCACTGAATAAAACATCGGAAGAACACTAATCACGATAATATCCTCACGGAGACTTAGACAACACCCGTCATGTAACTCTAGTATACATCCAAACTGGGTTAGTCACAACGAAACAACAACGTATGAGTAACGGCAACACCGACATTCGTGTCGAACAAGGACATATATTATTTCTCAATGAGATAAGTATGGTTACATTGCATTTTTTCCCTAGTCTTCACCAACTTGCATCACTCAAAACCTAGACGTTAGTTCGTCCGCAAACAGTCAACATCTACGGAAATCATGATATTTGATGCAAGTTATTGAACACCAAATCAATAGCGACATGTAAACAACTTAAGCTGGGGCAACACGTGGATGTTACTCTCAAGAATGGGAAAATTCAGTTTGTGCACATCAAAATCATCGCACGTATCGTAAAGTTTAGAAGTACGAGTAACTTATTTTACTCGGGTATACACGATAACAGTGGTCAATATATTCCTTGTTGTTATGCGTTATGTTTGGAATGGAATGGAAGGACTTAGCAAGGTTTTCGTTACCAGTCCGGATAATTCCTTCAATAAAATTATATTGATCAATTTTGAAGTGTAATATCTTATTCTTGTGTGGTGCATTAAGTAGGAGACATTAAAAGTACAGCAAGTACCTGGGGCCGAGACCTGTTCTTGAGGCATACATCTAATATATAAACGTAGTCCCTACTGAGTGTCTTAAATGCTGCATTCAGGTAACAAATTCCCTATTGGTATTCACTAGCCCATTTAACTAATTGGACATCATAAGGTGAACCTTTCAAGTCTGAAGTGTACATGTGTTCATATAGACAGTGTCTTCCTACACTGAGGAGGTTATTTTTATAACTCGGACCAAATAGAGTGCAATACAGATTTTCCAAAAAGTTGCACAGGAATCATTGCATTTGAGAATAATTCACAAATTATATATACTTCACGTTCTTTGCTAATGGTGGACAGCGATTGATTTTTTTTTAGTAAGATATCAGTTGAATTCGAATGAGTAACAAAATATGCAGATTTGTGTGCTCCATGATAGTGTGCTGGTGACGATAGGGTCGATTTGTTTTTGTAAAGCTTACACATTCCACATGTGGTCGTGTATGGAGTGGTCAGAGATGGGTCTGTTGTTGTTGTCGGTAATGATTAGTATCTCAAATTTAATACTGAGGCAAACGTTCATTAACAATTCCTTTTCCTACTTCTTGAAATTGTCTTTTCCTGGAGATAGCCGTAATACGCTGAAATCGTTGTCTTGGAGTTTGAGAGTCTCTTTGAGAGCTAGACAGCACAGGCCAAAGACTGTGCGATACGAACTTCGGGTGTCACGAGCAGTAGGCGATATTTTACCTTCCGGGAATACAGGGTATGTTATGTAGAATATAGACTCCTAGATCCACGGGAGTATTCCACCTATTATTTCATCATAGCTGATGGAGCAAGCGTTGGTGGGACTCTTTTGTCAAGTGAATTATGTACCTTCTCTAGAATGGACTCCTTGGGACAGGATTGCTGTTAGCGTATTCCCAACAGCTGATGGACATGTTGAAATTTACACTGGTGGTTTAATTTTGTTCAGAAGGGATGGTGGTTTGATAATCATATCAAGGATGTTTCCGGTCGATGATTTTGTTGCGACCCATGTCTTTTCCAAAGGAAAGGAATGCAGTAATTTAATCATGTATTGCGTTTTTTACGACATTGGTGTTCTAGTGGTATCTATTGCATTGGTGACTTACCCATAGTTCATACCCTTAGCGAGTACCATTTTCTCGCTACTGGTGAGCTCCTTATTATAGAGATGTTGACTACCCATTGTTTTTAGTATAGAATACTTCAGAGCTGCATCTGTGTTGGTGTTGTGTTGTGTTGATTTTTCTACAAGACGGTTTAATTTAGTCAAGTGGCATTGTTTAGTTGTGGCGAACGCTCGTTCACCTATACCTATATAAGGTATACTTGTTTGATCCTTTGATAAACATCAAATGAATTGCGCAGCAGCATAACTGTAAAATTGACAAGCTTTGACGTCTGGTACGTGTCGCCCCCTATATTTTTTAATGAAAAGTATAGGCCTTACAATTTGTCCTTTTTTCATACCTGACACCAATCATATAATTAACCTTGTACCTTTGATTTTGTAATCGAACCCTTGGATTCCATTGATGTATTATATCGTTCTGTGTATGTCGATTTAAGTATAATTTGCTATATAACATCAACAAGGCATCATGATCTCGCAAAAATCTTTATTTATCAATCAGTAATGGTCTGCTATAAGAAATATGTAAGATACCAGTGCTAAGTGTACATGTATGCTTTTAACATGGATTCATTAATACAATTATAGAAAAAATGCAACAAAAAGGCAATATATACCCTGAGTTTACATGCGACAATGTACGTCTACAACAAACCACAAACAGAGCATGATAAGTACCAAACCAGCCGCCGATCCATATTTTTTTAATCTCAAACCGTTGAGGATGCAGCCCAGACACATAACTCCTCACTGCAATGCAAAGTCCTAACCGTGTCATTACTTCCACAAGTTGTCCTCTAAATATGATGCCTACCCTTACTCAATAAATAAAAACGGATTCCACATTCCACATTCATCTGTCATGCACTATCTTATTTGCACTCTCGTGCCTAGTACCCCGCATTGTCCAGCCAAATAAATCAGCACTTAAACTTGATACAGAAATGCAACGACGACAAAATTGATAGATTGGAAAAAATAAAAGCTAAAATCGACAGAATTATATTAAGGTATTGATCACCAAATGGAGTAAGATCATAACAATAACAGACCGAAGGTACGTAAAACAATGTATAGGAATGTAAGAGTCCCTGAGTCACGTAGAATATTATACAATACTTTGGGAATGTGACATTGAAGAAACGTTATGCCACGATATCGATAGCAGTGATTCTCTGCTGCATTGAAATATTCAGAAGTGGACTAATTAGTATTGATGAAGAGGGAAGTGCATGTCTGTTTTCTTTTGTATTTCATTGTAAATGCTCAGATCCTACAGTTAATATTGACATTTGTATTAGCAATTAGATCGCCTAGAGTGACTGTGGATATTGCAAATTAACAGAAAGGTAAATCCGAAGATAAATATGTTAGGTCTAAAATATAAGGACGCATATTGGGAGCGTTCAATGTTCACACGATATCTGAGGTACTTAATAATCTATTCCTCTAAAAATTTAACTGGTATATATTTATCGGACGTTAATGTTGCTTAGATTATTGGTCTAATTTCCTTTTACTTGTCATTAGATAGAAACTGTCTTCTACTTGAATAAAAAGTTTGATTTTGATGCAATATATAAACCAATATTACCTGTAATAATGAATGATGCGGGAATTATAGGAAATTGACAAGGGTTTAGATTAACCTTATAAAGTATAACAATTATGATCTATTGCTGCCCATTTAATGTGCAGTTAATGTTGATTAATTTCGAAATACAACTGTAGTTTTTCCGTCTCATTTTAAATAAAAACCTGATGGGATGATTATACCCTAGGGTTAGGGTTAATCAGTCTGACTCCACTTAGGCGACCATATATCTGATGATTCTATAGTCGTATTGCTCGTATTTTTAAATATCACATAGTCCTTTTAGATTAAGGAATTTTCTTAATCCACGAGCTTTTATACTTATTGGACTTTCTTCTTTTAGACTTATTGCATTTTCTTCTTCTGTTTCTGTTCCTTCCATTATTATCTCTTTGTCGTCTATCTCGGTTTTGTTGTTTGCGCTTTTTCATTAAAGTACTTGTTTTCCGATGTTTCGATTGAGGGTCTCTATGCCTTTTCCCGATTTCTGAAATATAAAATATGACCAAATTGAATTGCAACAAGTATAACCTAACAGATAGAGTAAACCTGATGGGAACCAATCACAAAATACACACAGCTAATTCAACGGGCACGAAACCATGATAGTACTCGAGCAAAGAGCTAGCGAGTCGAAGCGAGATCATTACAATTCTTCAGTGATGTAGACTAATTAGCTTAACGGAAACTTAAACTTTATTTGAACCATTTTAACCAAAGCACCATGTTCCGTTAGAGGAATCTTCAGTGCAACTTACTTTCAAAGTGTACGAGGAATCCTTTGCCAGTTTTTGACCTCCTTGAGACTGTGAGGGAGAGTTCCACACTCCCCCCTGATAAGGTGGTGTTAAATAGTTTTATATTTCCTTCAACAACTAATGTCTTCGTTTTCCCTTTGATATGCCTAATCCTGAACGTATCGCGGCTTTCGTCAACCTGGGCAGTCTCAATTTTCAGTAAGAGTTGTCTTCCCTTTCCTACCTGCCGACAAAATAAAACAAGGAGGTTAATATGAAAAAATTAAAAGAAAAACGTGTATTGACTTTTTAGCGTTTTCCTTTCAATATATGATCCTAGCATTCATTTTTGTTAGTTTATTACTTGTTTACAGACATCATTTCATAATTCTACGACACATTTAAACAACGTAATGTGAGTGAAGTTTGGGCAAAACCATTACAACGGGAGCTACTGACAGGTAAAACGATATGTAGTTTACATAATCTGGGCTAGTCTGGTTATATCTAAATAAAAATGCCGGAGCCCTAAACGCATCCTTGCATGTTTTCAAAAATGAGTGTGAGAGACATGATTGCAGCTTCGCCTCGTAAATCCAGCCACCGCTAGCCCAGTAGTCTAACTACAAGTTATAGGGTAGATATTAGTTTTCCTTTACAAGTTTGTTCCCGTAGTCCGGCCAATCCAACCTCTCTTACTGAGAAAGGTAAGTATACAAGTAAAACAGAAGGCTATGTTTTATCTTTTAAGTGAAGATAGTTCTTTAAAGTGTTAATTAACCAATTAATACATTATGTGAAAGTTGTATAGGCTTTAAATCATTGTTAAATTCTTGTAGTATGTCACACAAAGTTAACCCAAATCAATTCATGACCTCCTTTTTTATTTGTTTTTCTGAAATGAAACGATATCAGAAATAAATTTTACCAACTTTTTGGTTTTAACTCTAGCCTGTTTTGGGTAAAGTAATTATTTCACCATTTTGTTGTTTCCAAATGATATTAACAGATATAAGACAGCACGGCCAATACAATCATGCATGGATAGTCCACGAATAAATCTTTTGTTACCACTCTGTACGTCCTATTGTTAATCCACTCTGTACGTCCTATTTGAAAAACGTTACGTTCTGCTGCAAAAGCATTTGCTTCATAGGAACCTTTTACTTGGTATACTATAATAGTATATGACAGACACTGAGGGTTTTTAATTTAAGTATTTACTTGATAACTATTTTATAGGGTAATTGCTATATTTTGAAAGGGTTTAATGTAAGAAACGGGCTTTTTATAAGTTCAATATTTTGTGCTCTGTACCTGTGCTTTATTTTGAAGTACACGTGGTTAAAGAAGTACTGTATTTTCGACAGCCTATATAAGAAAATCTCTATCGATCAGCGTGTGTTTTGCACCCCCTTAATGTAGGCATTGTCAATCTAGTCTAGAATATAGGTCTCACATGCTTCATATTGATTATAAAACTTGCTTGCTGCTATGTTATTTACCTTAATAACCTTCCTGCAGTCCACCTCCTCCGCCCCGTAGTCCCACGGATAAATATTGTGACTTCGGATGATGCCAGAAGCTTTGTTGACTACCTCGGAGGCCTGCCTACTACACATATTCACAACATTTTCTGCAGTGAGATAATACAAATGTTTTAGCGATTAATTCAGACATTTTTTCTGTAAATTTGAATCAGTTCACTGTCTGATTTGAATCATTTAAATATCAGAGAATATTATGGTTATTTAACTTCGCAGAAAGTTAACCAACTGAATTAATAATTATAATAATCACATCACATTGTTTATGTAATCCACAACAATGATTATCACAATAACTATCATACTACACTAGCTACATGTACGTATACATGTCATTACGAAAACATTTTGACTACATAATCCAAATATAATATCAAAATGGTAACCACTCATGTTCCTGTTTAAAGACAGTTTTCGATGATTCTAAGGATTAATTATGTATTACGAAAGAGCAAATTAAGTAAGTTGTTATTTTATGTAATGTAAGGGATATCATACATGTCATAGACGATCGTTGATAAGCTACATATATGCAGGTAAACAAACTCCAGAATAAGGTTAGTATTCTAGTGATGTTATTTGCTAAATAAAAACATGTGATTTGTATTTTAAATCCGCGATGTTTGAATTCCAGTTTCATATATTTTTTGAGATGTAAATATATATAATTTTACTGTTGTTATAGTTGATTTTTATCCACAGGCAACTCAATGTCTATTAGACCTGGTACTGACTAGTACTACCTTGTCTGATGCATTGGTATCCGGTAGTTGACATGACGGCAGCCGGCCTTCTCCGACAAGGGAGATAATCACACAGAGTTACCGTGGCAGGGATCTTCCAGTTGATCTTACAATTCCGCTCCCAATAACAGTTATTGATCTGCACCATCAAACTTGGAGTAATAACAGCACTGGTCAATCTCTTTCCAAAGCCCACCATTAGTTGAGGAGAATACAGAAGGGATCCTTTGAGACAGGTGAACGACATCTGGTTGTTCTTCCATATCATAGGGCTTCGTAGGGATGCTGGGAACAGAAAAGGTTAATGTCACCATAAGTGAATGGAAAATATATATAAGAATCGGGAAACTATACGCCAGAAAGTACTTGTGAGAAAAACGGATACACTTCAATGTATACCTTTATGTTTATGGAAATGGATACACATTTAAAAACCATGGCGTCACAGAAACCGCGTCATCACGGCGACAGACTGTCGAGAACTACATTTTTTTCAGCAAGGAAAAATGCTGTTTGAGATAATAAACATGAACTGATTAACTGATAAAACACAACCCTGTCACTACCTCAACTGCCCTGGGGTTAAGTTATGTAGGACAAGGTCACTGTGGTGATATGTAGTGCCAGAGGTAATACACACACGGGTTGAACAGAGTTTGTTTAACATTCAGGCCGGTACAAACCCAAATCTGTGGTGTGATTGATCGGCATGATTGTAGAATCCCGTTCAATATATGAAGTTTTTAATACTTAACATTTATCATAAGCTCGAATATGTAATCATATTTTCTGATTAGTAATTTTTCATGGTGCTTGTATTCCTATTTAGATTGGTGTTGACCGCCATGGTGTTCTTTTACTCATCCTTCAACTACCTTTGTGAAGTGATAAATGGCACTTACCTTTGGGTAGATCGGGTACTGGACTGTGTAACGCGCTCCAATTGGGATATCCATCATGACGTTGTACTGTAAATATAGTCTGAACTACTCATATTGACACGAAACATGGTATTACTGAATACATCATACTTTCGATCATCAGAGTAGATGTAGGACTGGGTCTACATTAACCACACTGTTATTTAAGGGACAATTCAGGTTACTTCTGATTAAACGAATAACGTAATAACAAAATAGCATTATAATGTCCTTATATTTGATTAATTAAAATCGGGTAAAATTATATATTTCTACATGTTTGCATGTCGCGATTTTTGTTGGATTCTACTTAGATTTTCATGTCTGCTAATGGTTGATGAAGCAGAAAACGCTTACCTTTCCGGGATGCCTGGTCTTTTTCTCTATATACTTTTAAAAAAAAGTATCCATGCCAATCTTTCTGTTGTTCCTATTTTGCACTGGTTTCATCATTTTAAGTTCGAATTACGGCTTCTATGTATCGCACTTCCGTTTTTGTTTTTTTGTTCAACTTGATATGAATTTTAAAATTCCGGTTAATTAATCGTTAAATTGCTGAATCTTGATGCAAGATCTTGGCTGTTACTGGTATGTAAGAGGACCATTTCCTCAATGAAACAGAAAAGTACGGAATTTTTGTCTTGAAAATTTACCTTCAAATGGAAATTGCCATTAGACAACGATTACGCGAACTACAAGACATACATGTCTTCAAATAAGTGAGTTTACAATTTGAATGTTAACTGATGTCATTGATTTTAATGTAAAGAGAACTCATCCAGCAAAACTTAACGGGTAGCGTTATGGTTTAAATGCATGTCTATTTAAGTGAGTAACTTGAAGATGAATGGCGAACCATATTACATACGAACTTTTAACATATTGTTTAAGTACTTCATTTTAATCATTTCTTCATTGGACCAAACTTCATTTTGTTGTGCATGCTATCTGGTGTACAATACGTACCATTATATATTAGATAAAAGTCGGGTTTAGATACGTCTTGGTCCCGGTTTTCCCATGTCACATCAAAATGATTTCCGGTTCCAGTGAATGTTTCATGATTGTATCTTAGAGTCCTGGTCCCGATAGTGCCATGCTGTGTCGTCCATTGTATAATCACGTGATAACTAGTGCCACTGTCGAATTTTTCAAGTTTCATCGACATTGTCACATTTGTAAGAAAGGACATCATCTTATGACACGACCTTTCCGCTTGGTTGGTGTTTGGAATGTCTTCGTGCCTCCCAAGAATACCGGCCGTGTACCTTGCCTCTAACCCGTCAGAACATATATCACGAATCTGGTCTGAAAAAAGGCACATGTAATAATGTTCGAGTACAAAATACACCAAAGCTTTCGGAATAAGAGGAGTACTGTCATTCTAACATTAATATGTTGTGTCTCCGCATTATCTTTTAATATTCATCGAAACGTGGCGCGGCGTAAGTTGTCATCTATTTACTTTAACCCAACTTTCAATTAACCAACAAGCCTGGGGCAATTTGGTCAGTAGTATGCTGTGCCGTAGGGATATTAGATTTGTTCAAATCAATTACCTTAACCCACTGTAAATAGCACGGGAGTCAAATGTGTTAAAATATTCTAACATAATCTGTTGCATGCCTGGATAATTGGTGATCTATCTTGCTGAAAGGAATAACATTGACCCTACGTTATGCTTACATAGGGTCAGATGTATTAAAACATTTTTTGAAAAATCTCTTCTGAATAGCCAAGAGGCCTAAGAACACGATATCTGGGCAAAGAGGTCACATGGGTTAAATGTCTAACAACTAAAATTAAAAGGGACATCTTCTAAATAAGATAGAGGCATACTATTTGGCAATAGGAATGCTTGGGTAATGTGCTATCAAGTTTGTTCAACTTAGTTACCTTGAAGGATTTAAAAGATGGAAGGGGTCAAATGTGCTAATACCTTTCAATCAATAATCAAGAAATCGGGGGTCATGGTAATTAACATATAGGTTACTTGTATGACGGACTATAAGTTCTGTTCAAATAGATTACCTGCAGCTACTTTCAAGGCCATGAGGGTAAAATGTCTTAAAGCATTTTCACGGTTTGATCATTTCTTTAAAAAAACTGAGAGTTCGAACTTCGAAATCGAAACATTAGGCATGTAGCATAAAAAGTCTATATGTAAACTAAAAAAATATTGACCCACTTTCAGGGTCACAAAATTGTCTTCCTCTGAAAGAAACAAGATATCAATGATCATCATATTTAACCTGCAACATGCTCAGTTGAAGAGTTACCAAATGTATTTGAACTTTGGCTTGCTGTAATAACACAGACTGTCAAGTTAACAACTTTGAAGGTAACATGAGCAAAATGACTTAAAAGCGCATCCAACAAAAATCAATAAGGTGCAGGATATTGATGTTTGGCTGTTTGCATTAAAATTGGTTAAAATAAATTTGACCTTGACCAATTTTGAAGGCTACAGATATGTGATATGCTTGCCAAAATACTTTGGGAAACAGTTGAGCAATACAGGCACATGTGGCCTCTTATTTAAACAAAATACTGTAGCATTTGATCATATTTACCTCTTTGAACACACTTTGGTAAGGAAATAGTGAGAAACTTCGGGAACTTTTTAAGGCATTTGTTGATCGGTCCTCTCAAAATGTTGGTCAGACGTAAACCCTTTCTAAAAGAAACGCTACACGTGTTATTCATCACACATTGCTCAGACTGCTTGACCAATTGACTGTCCGTGCCCAAACAGTCCCTCTCGAGACGTAAAGTAGACGAACGGCGTCCGACGGACGCTCCATACGCTATGTAAGGTGACAGCATAACGTGATTGTCTGGACAGACAATGTCCACTCGCTCGTGTCCGTTAGACAGACGCCGGGTCACAAACGGACGCGAGGACATCATGTCATCTGTAATTGTAAATATATTTGCATGGAAATCACATTTTTATTGATCATGTTTTCTATTTTACTTAAGACAATTTCTCTGTAAAATTTAGATTTCAACAAATTAATAAGAATGCATGCATTCATCTTTGAAATACTAAAAACATGTTAATAACATTTTGAGAAATAAATAAGAAAAAGTCCTGTCTCTTAAGGGTCGCTTGAGTGTGTAAACTTACTGACGTCATTCAATAGTCTCCATTGGTTACACATTTAACTACGGTCGGCCAATAGTCTCCTTTCGTTACAAAGTTAACCAAGGTCAGTCAATGGTTTCCTGTGGTTACAAAGCTAAATAGGCATTTGAATGACCATGAAATACCAGTGTCAGGAAAAAGTCAACGGAGGGGTAACTATCACCACTTTTCTCCAAAATTGCAATGATTCACTCGGAGAAACGTATAAGCTTCAACAGCACGCTACTCTCGTGATCTATATCAGTCAACCTCACTATGTCGTACGTAGTATACATTTCATTTCAACAGATTTTATTGACATGGTGTTATGGTCAAATGGATCGTAATATACGTGCTGCATCACTTTATAAAAAATTCATTCCACACGCACACACTAACTCACACATCTCATCAACGGGTTTTATTCATTCTATGATCGTACAACAGCGGAAACCTCTCAGCCGTCATAATGCTGTCGTACATTTTCACTGTTAACACTATCAAACACTTAGAACATTATGATGCTAGTGGCTTTATTGGTATCATATATGTTCTATATTTTGCTTTATGAGGACAAAGTGTACTCTACTGACTAAAGTTGTTAATTTAGACTCAAAATATAAATTAGAAAGGAAATTATTGAAAAAAAACCTGAACACTTTTCATTTGTAAATTACCTAAAAGAATCCCAAGATCAATCCTCCGCTTTATCTAAACAATCTTTAAGTGACGATTGAATTTCTGTCATTTTTTTTTTTTTTATATATATATGCGTGTTTTGTTTAAGCATGTTTTTAAAATAAGAAATAGTACTCTTTTTATTCTAACGCTAATTATGAAAACAGCAAATTGTATTATTGGTGATGAATCCTGCCCCTTTTGGTACCCCAAAAACCCACTTTCGGTCAAACTTCTAAAAAGCACATTTTTATATATCATATTTTCTTTTTGACTAAGGTCTCGGTAAACTTTATATTTAACAATTTGAAAATGCTTAAAACATGGTAATACAACTGTGAAAAATAAAATCCTAAGGTTGGTCAATGGTCTCCCTTGGTTACAAAGCTAACTGAGTCCAGTCAGTCTATGGACATTACAAAACTAACTTAGTCAGTGCGCCTGGACGTTACAAAACTAACGTCAGGCAGTGGTCTCTGGACGTTACACAGCTAACCAAGGTCAGTCAGTGGTCTCTGTACGTTAAACAGCTAGCTAAGATCAGTCAGTGGTATATGGACGTTACACAGCTATCCAAGGTCAGTCAGTGGTCTCTGTACGTTTAAATAAAGCTAAGGTCAGTCAGTGGGCTCTGTACGTTACACAGCTAGCTAAGGTCAGTGAATGGTCTCTGTACGTTACACAGCTAACTAAGGTCAGTCAGTTGTCTCTGTACGTTACACAGCTAACTAAGATCAGTCAGTGGTCTCTGTACGTTACACAGCTAACTAAGATCAGTCAGTGGTCTCTGTACGTTACACAGCTAGCTAAGGTCAGTCAGTGGTCTCTGTACGTTACAAAGCTAGTTAAGGTCAGTCAGTGGACAATGTACGTTTAAATAAAGCTAAGGTCAGTCAGTGGTCTCTGTACGTTACATAGCTAACCAAGGTCAGTCAGTGGTCTCTGTACGTTACACAGCTAACCAAGGTCAGTCCGTGGTCTCTGTACGTTTAAATAAAGCTAAGGTCAGTCAGTGGGCTCTGTACGTTACACAGCTAGCTAAGGTCAGTGAATGGTCTCTGTACGTTACACAGCTAGCTAAGGTCAGTGAATGGTCTCTGTACGTTACACAGCTAGCTAAGGTCAGTCAGTGGTCTCTGGACGTTACATAGCTAACCAAGGTCAGTCAGTGGTCTCTGTACGTTACATAGCTAACCAAGGTCAGTCAGTGGTCTCTGTACGTTACACAGCTAACCAAGGTCAGTGAATGGTCTCTGTACGTTACACAGCTAACCAAGGTCATTGAATGGTCTCTGTACGTTACACAGCTAACTAAGGTCAGTCAGTTGTCTCTGTACGTTACACAGCTAACTAAGATCAGTCAGTGGTCTCTGTACGTTACACAGCTAACCAAGGTCAGTGAATGGTCTCTGTACGTTACACAGCTAGCTAAGGTCAGTGAGTGGTATCTGGACGTTACAAAGCTTATGAACAAAGATCAGTCAGTGGTCTCTGGGGGAACATGTAATGCTCGTTGAGATGATTCCATGATTCTAAGGGGCTACAAACGAACTTAGGACAGTACAGGGTATCTGAAATGTACACGTAGGGTAGGGTTAGTCATTTGAGAGTTGTTGGAATGCAAGCGCATCGCAATGACACAAGTACGTAGTATACCAGTGTTGGGAAAAGGTTAACGGAGGAGTAGCTATCACCACTTTTCTCCAAAATGGCAATGATTCACTCGGAGAAACGTATAAGATTCAGCAGTACGCTACTCTCATGATCTTCCACCCCACTATGTAGTACGTAGTATACGTGCTGTATCACTTTATAGAAACACACGCGCACACACACTGACGTACACATCACATCATCGAATTTAAAATTAGTTTTACGTCAATCTATGTGATCGTATTATAACAAAAACATCTCTGATGTCATAATGCCGTTGTACATTTCTACTTTTACAGACGTCATAAGAACATTATGATGCTATTGCATTACTTGTTCTATTTTTTGTTATATGTTACACACAATAGGAGTACAGGCCCGTGTTCTAGATTTGTCTACTGCTAAAATTATACCAACTTATCAGAAATCAGAAGTATATTGTGGTTTTCTTTGTTTATGTTTACGAATCAATAAATAAAAAGAGGCATCATAAATTTACAAGGAAATATAGCTTTATGTAACCGTGGTTTCATAGAAACATCACATATATTTATATACTTTTCATACATGTTTATATATATGTTATGCATACATAGTTATAGTGAGTGTAGCACCAGCTGAATCAATATTGAAGTTTCAAATGCCACTCTATAAACTGAAATGTATGGAAAACCCCTTGCTAGCACGCTTAAACAGAGCGATTGTTTATCTACAGTAATATAACCTACACCTCATGTTTAGGTAAGCTATATATGTGGTATATCTTAGGCTGTGCATTGGGTAAACCCCTATATATATATACGCATGTGCTCAATGGTTCCTGTGACGTGTCGGGCGTAATGAGTGTCGGCGTTATTTATGATTATAAACACAATTATCATAGATATTAACTAATCATATTGACGTATTCATGTTGCCATTGGAAATGAGTTGTGATGTTACTCATCACACAGCTAATAACTTAACTATAAAGAGGATACTACCGTTTGATATTTTAATAGAAAGTATTAAAGGGCCTGTTTCCAGTAATGTTAATTCTCCATAGAAGCCTGCCCCCGTATAATTTCTTATCTAGCTCAACTACTGTTTTTTTCTTTTCCGAAGAATAATTTTACACCTTTCCGACACCCAGATTTCATAATTTCAGTGAAAATGTATTTTTATAAAGTTGTCAATTTCAGCATCAAAGACATAAGTTCGTAAATAAAAGAAGGTTATCTCGAAATTGTAATTCGCAACATAGTATAAATTTCTTTTGATAAATATTTCCAAAACATCGTGTTTATTCATAAAAAAAAAAAAAAAAAATTCTCGGATGAAAATGCACTTGCAGAGACACAATTATGAAGAAAAATGCCATAAAATTGCAATTTTCTCCCGTTATATAGTTTTGGATGCAAATTTCCATCAGAAAATCGGATAGAGCTTTACTTGTTTCATATGTGTACCAAAAATCAGCTAATTCCATGTGGTGGAACGTTCTCATATCGCCGCCTGAATGTGGTTGTAAATTGAAAGAAAAGGGGAAATGAGTAACAACCTTGTCTGAAACCCTATTATATAGCTTATTATATACAAACTTTTATATTGAATATCAGAGCGGATATTTTCATGACAGTTTTATGATGTGTAACGACTAAATAAACAGTATCGATATAAAGATTTACACTGAGGACACCCTGATACATGAATACTGTTCTATCTCAAGTTGTCCTCTTCTGAATTTTCTGATCGTGTGGCCTTGTACATTTATCCGTATCTTCTTGTCTTTGTCTATACGTTTACGGAATCATTGACTCGACGCTAGCTATTCTTGTCTCACTTTCCTTGTTTTATTGTCCCATCTCCAAAGCGTTGTGGCTCTGTCAGGGTTGGGACCCTGACTTGTCTCACTTTCTTTGTGCCTGCCGACCACGCCACATCGAATAGATAGATTATCCATATGAAATACTTTATTTTGTTCTAAGTAATCAATCAATTCTGCGCTTCTTGGAGGTATTGAATGTGATTTATTATATTGTCTTGTTATTTTGTGTAATTAGTTGTTCGTTATTTATCACACATTTTCGCATAATTGTACCAAACTACTAAGTATTAGCTGTTTACAGCAATCATCGGTGGCTTGCTATTTTGTTACTTTATCGACGCTTCATAAACCAATCGTTATTGTTTCAAGATGGAGGGTAAATGTGTTGGAGAAGGGTGTCAAGTATACTTCAAGAAACGTAGTGGCAATAAGAACAGAAGTGCACGCAATGTAAATAGTCCACAATATAAATGGCTCCTAGATACGCTGGTGCAACAAGGATTGATGTCAGCAAAGGAACAAGCACTTATTTGCCAGAAGTGCTACATGAAGTATCTTCGGAACAAAAATCAGCCTGAACCTGAACCCGAGCAGAACCAGGAAATAGAGGAAGAAGACGACTCCCCGTCCCATATCCTGCCG